TGCCTAACAGTAGATGATCCGATACTGCCCAACACTTTCATGTGCAAGTGAAGCTAGACAGATATGTGATGACTGTTGTCCAATCTGACTGTGGGTTTATTTTTTTCTGGGGGGGGGGGCGCAGGTAGCCCTGGCCAATACATCTTTGGGCTACAAGAGTAGCTGCATGTGCTTGATTGTGAGTGTTTTCCCGTAGATCCGGGAATCGCCAATGACTTTAGCTGTATTATTATCAGGGGCGGACTGACCATTTGAGCACTCGGGCACTGCCTGAGGGCCCAGGGTCAGTAGGAGGCCCCATGAAATAACCCCTGGCACCTTTTTTATTATATAGGCTTTTTTGGGTGTGGGGGAAGGACACAGGGACCCCATGATCCCCTATTGCCCGGAGGCCCCATGAGTTGTCAGTCCGCCCCTGATTAATATCCAATTGAGCCTATTAGTATTTTGTATTCTCCTTAGACTTCTTTCCATGTCTTCATAGAAACACAGAAAAGTGATTGCAGAAAAAGAGACCTAGTGGTCCATCGAGTCTGCCATGTTTTAATACTTTGTACGTTTTTTGTATTTTTTTATGTTACCTAAGTTGAGTATAGATCTGTGTTTTGTCCCGAGCATGTTTGGATCCACTTACAGTTGACACTACTTCTGCTGGAAGTCTGTTCCAAGCATCAACTACCCTTTCAGTAATATCATATTTTTTAAGATTAGTTTTGACCTTCCCTCCTGCTAGTTTGCACTGATGTCCCCTTGTTCTTGATTTTGTCTCTTTTTTGATATATTTTATTCCTCTGGCCTTTTACCATTGTTACCCATCTCTGTACTCGTGCTATCCTATCAATATCTTTTTGTAAGTGAGGTCTCTGGGACACCGTATTCTAAATGAGGTCTAATTAAACATCTGTATATGGAAATCAGGACCTCCTTCCTCCTGCTGGTGACCCCTCTAGTGATAACTACAGACCTATATAGTTCAATCAGGACCTCCTTCCTCCTGCTGGTGACCCCTTTAGTGATAACTAAAGATCTATATAGTGGAATCAGGACCTCCTTCCTCCTGTTGGTGACCCCTCTAGTGATAATAGACAATCTATATAGGAGAATCAGGACCTCCTTCCTCCTATTGGTGACCCCTCTAGTGATAACTAAAGATCTATATAGGGGAATCAGGACCTCCTTTCCTCCTGTTGGTGACCTCCTGTTGGTGACCCCTGCTAGTGATAACTAAAGATCTATATAGTGGAATCAGGACCTCCTTCCTCCTGCTGGTGATCCCTCTAGTGATAGCTAAAGATCTATATAGAGGAATCAGGACCTCCTTCCTCCTGCTGGTGATCCCTCTAGTGATAGCTAAAGATCTATGTAGTGGAATCAGGACCTCCTTCCTCCTGCTGGTGACCCCTCTAGTGATAACTAAAGATCTATGTAGTGGAATCAGGACCTCCTTCCCTCCTGCTGGTGACCCCTCTAGTGATAACTAAAGATCTATATAGGAGAATCAGGACCTCCTTCCTCCTGTTGGTGACCCCTCTAGTGATAACTAAAGATCTGTATAGTGGAATCAGGACCTCCTTCCTCCTCCTCCTGCTGGTGACCCCTTCCTCTAGTATAATTAAAAAGATCTATATAGTGGAATCAGGACCTCCTTCCTCCTGCTGGTGACCCCTCTAGTATAATTAAAGATCTATATAGGAGAATTAGAACCTCCTTCCTCCTGCTGGTGACCCCTCTAGTATAATTAAAGATCTATAGAGGGGAATCGGGACCTCCTTCCTCCTGCTGGTGACCCCTCTAGTGATTGCTTCCTAGAATTCTATTAATAATAACCCCTTCATTGGTAAAGCTGGAGGGTATGTCCACTGAGTTCTAGTGTTGTTTATAAACAATAGTTCACCATGGCAGAATCTATGATTCCCTAATGACAGGTTTCCTGTAAACAGTTAGCACCACCCATCTCCTCCTCCATGTTTTCCTTAGTTACCAGGATTCTTAGTTGAGCTGTCATGTTTGTGGAGCTGGTGCACTGAGATTGTTCATGCATGGCCGCCATATCTTTATAACATACAGTTCCATCCTTTCTAAACATCGGACTGATTTCTCAGAACTGCAGTAAGACTGGACTGATTGCTCCCAGCAGCAAACCCGATTATTCCTATCAGCAGCTGGAGTAAGTCTTTTTTTTCCTGCTCCAGTTTCATTTATTCATTTATACCCCGCCTGGTATTTTTGTATTTGTGTCTTCCTGAATGAGTTCCACTGGATTAAGTGTCCATGTGACCTACTTTCATGTTTCCTGCTTCTTCTCTGTCACATGTTAGTAAACTGAGAATTGTGACTGTTTTATGAAAATAGAAATAAAACTTTAGATCATGAAGTATAATTCTACTTCAGTCATGTAGACATCTTACTGAATGTAAATTAACATGTAGGTATAGGTAAGGAATAATTGTGCCAAGTCATTTTGGCTTTTTCCCTCTTCTCCGTGACAGCCAACCCGAGAGACTGCTTTTCCCACCTAATCGGGACAGAAAAGTCCCACCTACCCTCATCAGCATTCTTCCTGTCCCTGTCAGGATAGGATGTGTGATTAAAGTGTTACTAAACCCACAACAGTAAAATCAGTCTCTGTATGCAGTAAAGCATGCTTGTTATACTCACTGTGAAACCTAAGAGGTTAATCCTTTGCATTGTGTAAAAATGCTGTTTGATCCTGGCTTCTCTGATCTTCCCCTTTTTCCAGTGTCCCTCTCTTATCCCCTGATAATACATATCTTGTGGAGACACTCTGCACATGCTCAGTTTGGTATGTATTGCTAGAGAGGTTTTTTTTTTTTTCCTTGGGAGGGTGCATGTGATCAGCACAGGGTCAATCAGCACTGTCTAGACAGAGGTCAGGGGTTCTGCATCCTCTAAGAACAGAAAGAAAACTCCTACAAACTTTAACATGTGCTCTGCTGGACACTGATAGTCGCAAGACTGCAGATTAGAAAAGGTATTTGCCAGGTTATATTTACTAAAATAATTGTATTTCTATGTTCTGTATACTGTGCGAGACCAGATATAGGAAAGAAAATCACTCCACCCATGGCCTGCCTAACGGTAGATGATCTGATACTGCCCAACACTTTCATGTGCAATTAAAGCTAGACAGATATGTGATGACTGTTTTCCGGTCTGACTGTGTTTTTTTTTTTTTTTCGGGGGGGGGCGCAGGTAGCCCTGGCCAATAGATCTTTGGGCTAAAAGAGTAGCTGCATGTGCTTGATTGTGAATGTTTCCCGTAGATCCAATGACTTTAGCTGTATTAATATCCAATTGAGCCTATTCGTATTTTGTATTCTCCTTAGGCTTATTTCCATGTCTTCATAGAAAAGCGATCGCAGAAAACAAGACCTAGTGGTCTATCAAGTCTGCTTCATTTTTTAATACTTTGTAAATTTTTTTTTTTTTTTTTTTTTTTTGTTAACGAAGTTGTTTGAGTATAGATCTGTGTTTTGTCCCGAGCATGTTTGAATCCACTTACAGTAGTGAATGCAGGGTCCTGGGTTTAGTAACACCTCTGCGTTTTAAATTTTTTGACCTATAAACAAAAAAGACTGACAATAAAAACAGTATTTTTTTACTTTTTGCTTTAAAACATATCCAATAAATAAAATTTAAAAAATCAAATTTCTACATTAATTTAGGCCATAATGTATTCTGCTAAAAAAATACCAATACATGTCAATTAATTGGTTTACATAAAAGTTATAGCGTTTTCAAATGGCTATATATATATATATATATATATATATATATATATATAAAATATATATATACACTGGAATTTTTACTTTTATTTTTTTATACTAGTAATGGCTGTGATCAGCGACTTATAGCAGGACTATGGCGGGCATTCTGACACTGGGTGGGAACTGACTAACTGCCACTGACATCCCCAGTAACACTAATACAGTGATCAGTGCTGAAAAAAGTACTGACACTGTACTGATGACACTGGGCAGGAAGGGGTTAACATCTGGGGCGATCAAAGAGTTAACTGTGTGTTTTACTAGGGAGATGTGGTTTTATGTCTCTGTGCACAGCAGAGAGATACAAAGCAGCATGTCCATGCTGACAGGAGAGAGACCTGTGTCATTTTACACACAGTTCCTGTCAGCTTTCCCCGACGATCGCCAGCCGGGATACGGTGATTGACATCCCTAGCCGCCAGAAGTGGTGCGGGTAGGGCGGCGCTTGCACGCCCCCTACCTGGAAATGCAAATCACGTATGTGTGTGTGTGTGTATGTATATGTATATATATATATATATATATATATATGTGTGTGTGTGTGATTTTGCATAGCCCTGCCTCCCTATTCTAATGGAATGCCTCCCTTCACTGGAAATTGCAAGCATACTGCGAACCTCGGTTCCCGTGCGGTCTGCGATTTCCAGAGTAGTGCAAGGTCTTCTTCCCTGCGTGTCCCAGGGCACGGGCGTCCATTCAAATGAATGGGCTCTTGTGTCCGTGCAAATTGCGGCTTGCATGTCCGCACAGATGTGAACCAGGGCTTAGAGAGACATGAGACTGTCACCTGGTGGGGCTGAACCATCCACCCTGGGCAGCTGTAATTTCATGTCTCTACTCCTTTCGATTTGTGCTTCATGTGAGATTCTCCAATTTGTGGCCGTGTGCATTTCTTGTGTGTAGGACATTATGACATTCTCACTGAGCTCTTCCTTCAGGAAATAAGTTACAGCTTTTTAGAACAGATATACAGGTAATAAGAAAACAGCAAGGCTTTAAATAATCTGGCATTATAGCAACTGTGTAATAAAACATTCCTCTGTGAATCCATGATCCTCTGCCAATGGGAACTTGTTTAAAAAAACTACTTTTACAGTTTTCCTACCGTTTTTCTTAAACTCTTTGTAATGATCTGTTCTCTTTTGACAGGACATCTGGTGTCAGTCGTCACAGACACCCTGCCTGGGGGCAGAGCTTCCATGAGCCGCAATGCTGGGCAGAAGGCCTGGCAAAAAAAATGCCCCAGTCAAGGGCAAAGGGGTTGCTGCAGCCAAAGAGGTAAGATCACCCATATGCATGAAGTGACTGATATCACAGCATCGGAAGGAAGGATGCTAACCATAGCAGTCAGTCACGTTCTGACAATCATTTTCTCATACTGTACAGGAAACCTAAAGGGGCAATATAATTGGCTGTTATGGGAAACAGGAACTGTTCTTCCTTCTAATGATTTTATGTATATGTTCTTTTCTGCACTAAAGCTGAACTCCAGCCTTACCTTCAGTAATGTACAGGTGTACAGGCTCCTATCCTGTATTGAAATTGCTTACTCTGATTTCACTGTACACTGAGCTCCTCGCAGGGTGCATTAGAAGCTGCAGCAAGTCCGAGAAATCCTGCATTTATAGGTGTGAGGACATCCAGCATCATCTAGCACTTTCCTCCACAAGCTGACTGTCCCTGGCCTATGCTTTTTAGCCATTGGATTTCAGTTATTTGAATCATGGAGGCTCAGCAACACTTGTAGACATTAACTAGGTTAGTCTGCTGCAAATTCATCCTGCTTAAAAAATCATGCTGTTTAGCATGGATGAGTGAATCTACTGATGTCTCTTGTTAACCATCAGAGAAATCTCAGCATGTGTGTCCAGCCTTAGCGTCTACCCCATTTAGAAGTCTTATTTCCCTACCACAGCCATAAAAACAAACACTAGAATCAGTATATTTGTCTAAAGGATGGGAGCTTCTTTCATTAAACACAAAAGGAGCTATAGAGCTGAAACAGTGTGTAATATATATATATATATATATATATATATATATATGTATGTATATACAGTGCATCCAGAAAGTATTCACAGCGCTTAACTTTTGCCACATTTTGTTATGTTACAGCCTTATTCCAAAATGGATTAAATTCATTTTTTCCCCTCAACATTCTACAAACAATACCCCATAATGACAATGTGAAAGAAGTTCATTTTGAAATCTTTGCAATTTATTAAAAATAAAAAATGAAAAAAACCACATGTACATAAGTATTCACCGCCTTTGCTCAATACTTTGTTGAAGCACCTTTAGCACCAATTACAAGTCATTTTGAATATGATGCTACAAGCGTGCCACACCTATATTTTGTGCAATTTCTCCCATTCTTCTTTGCAGTACCTCTCAAGCTCGGATGGGGAGCGTCGGTGCATAGCCATTTTCAGATCTCTCCAGAGATGTTCAAGTCTGGGCTCTGGCTGGGCCACTTCAGGACATTCACAGAGTTGGCCCGTAGTCACTCCTTTGTTATTTGTTATGTGTGCTTAGGGTCATTGTCCTGTTGAAACATGAACTGTCGCCCCAGTCTAAGGTCCAGAGCGCTCTTGAACAGGTTTTCGTCAAGGATGTCTCTGTACATTGCTGCATTCATCTTTCCTTCCATGCTGACTAGTCTCCCAGTTCCTGTCGCTGAAAAACATCCCCACAGCATGATGCTGCCACCACCATGCTTCACTGTAGGGATGGTATTGGCCAGGTGGTGAGCGGTGCCTGGTGCTTTCCAGACATGATGCTTGGCATTCAGGCCAAAGCGTTCAATCTTTGTTTCATCAGACCAGATGAGTTTTGTTTCTCATGGTCTGAGAGTTCCTCAGGTGCCTTTTGGCAAACTCCAGGAGGGCTGCCATTTGCTTTTTACTGAGTGGCATCTGTCTGGCCATTCTACCATACAGGCCTAATTGGTGGAGTGCTGCAGAGATGGTTGTTCTTCTGGAAGGTTCCCCTCTCTCCACAGAAAAACTCTGGAGCTCTTTCAGAGAGACCATCGGGTGCCTGGTTACCTCCCTGGCTAAGGTCCTTCTCCCTCGATCACTCATTTTAGCCGAGCGGCATGCTCTAAGAAGATTCATGGTGGTTCCAAACTTCTTCCATTTACGGATGATGGAGGCCACTGTGCTCACTGGGACCTTCAATGCTGCAGAAAATTTTCTGTACCCTTCCCCAGATCTGTGCCTTGATACAATCATGTCTTGGAGGTCTATGGACAATTCCTTGGACATGTCTTGGTTTGTGCTCTGACATGCACTGTTAACTGTGGGACCTTATATAGACAGGTTTATGCCTTTCCTAATCATGTCCAATCAACTGAATTTCCCATAGGTGGACTCCAATCAAGTTGTGGAAACATCTCAAGGATGATCAATGGTAACAGGATGCACCAGAGCTCAATTTTGAGTGTCATGGCAAAGGCTGTGAATACTTGTCTACATGTGTTTTTTTTTCTGTTTTTTATTTTAATTAAATTGCAAAGATTCCAAAACGAACTTCTTTCATGTTGTCATTATGGGGTATTGTTTGTAGAATGTTGAGGAAAAAAATGGAATTTAATCCATTTTGGAATAAGGCTGTAACATAAAATGTGGCAAAAGTTAAGTGCTGTGAATACTTTCTGGATGCACTGTATGGTTTGTGTTTTCAGGCATAGGTTAGTTTCTGTCCTATGTTTGTTCCAAAAGCTGTTTACTGTAGAATTCTCATTGGCAGTAGTTAGAACACTCTGTAATTACGGTACGTAGATCTGATGGTATACCGCTCCTGTCAGGTGATTTTAGTTATTAAAATTTTTGTATGATTGATGGTGTTTTTCTCTCATCATTGTTTTGGTGTGTAGCTTGGCCTGTTTGTAGACTTCAATCCAGAGGATATGATGATGGGAGTCCCAGATGATGCAGATGATGGAGACCTAGAAGCAGAGCTAGCAGCCCTTACTGGTGGAAAAGTGACACCCAAGGCAAAACCTAAAGGAAAAGGTGAGCAGGGATTCCCTGGCTTTAAAGTGTAACTAGGGACAAAATAAAAAATGACATATATGATGCAGTGTTCTACTAGCATTAGCACAGCAGTTTTTGTTTTTCTAAGTCCCCCAGGTAACATAATTTTATTACCTGATTAAATAACCTGACCCTGACAGTAGAACCAGTTGGTTTTTACTATCTGAAAGTAGGTAGTCTCGCTCTTAGTCTCGCTCCTAAAACTCCACCCACCAAATTTCCCTTAAGTTCAGAATAATTACCTCGGTAAAGAAAGCATTAAAAAATAAAACTCTCACTTACCTTGCCAATTATCCCACTTCTGACACCACTGAAAGTAGGTAGGTGGTCTTTTTCCTTTGTTCCTTGGGGGCCCCCTCAAGATACCAACGGTCACACCTGGACACAGCTACGAGATCTCGGAAAGCGAATGCACTCAAGTCACCTCAGTTGCGATTGCAAAACACTTCAGTTTTATTGGCATAACATCAGGGTTATTATACTATAGTCTTTGGGCAAACACACCCTCAGACCATCCAATCAAATACATGTACATTTTTTTTTACCTTAACTCCACAATTATTTGTATGAAGTTTGCATTTTCACTCTTCTGCTTTATCTGTCACGCCATATCTGGTCTAACGCCCAGACCATGGCTGTAATCTGACCCAACGCCCAAGTTGTGGTTAAAACTTTTCAGAAATGAGAGTAAACCTTATCTGCTTTTTTGTAAAGTTTGCAAAAACACTCATTTCTACATGAAGCTGGCATAGACAGTTTTGTTTAGTGTGTACAAATTTCATATATATGTTAAAGTAGCATCTTGTATTAGTGTATACAAAATGGATTCAATTATATTCCATTTAATCCTTTCACTATCTTTAAAGTAACAATGCTGTTTGTTTCAGTGTAATTACACAGCAACATTGTCACCCTGTGTGCGATTAAGTCTTTGGACTTGAAGTGAGCAATAAAACAAATCAATGTCAGCTTCCACTTCTGAACTACTTCACCCCAGAGCAATTTTTAGATTTCTACTATGGGCCTGTTTTTTTGGCAATACCCTTGTCATTGTTATAGATAACAAGGTAATACATATTTAGTTTTTTTTTAATGACAAACAAGGCTTTCAATGATTGCAACAATGAAGTTTTTGTTTGCAATCCTTAGACAATTAAACGTAACAAAACTAAACAACACACTTTTTCTGTTTTTTCTTTTTTTTTTTCTTTTTTTTTAGCAGTGTTAGTTTAAAAATAAACAGTGTTACTGCTCATATAAAGTGTGCAATTTACAAATTTGCACTTTTTTTCAGTGTGTTACACTTACATATGTGGTAAAGGTGTAAAAATATTAACAAAACAATAAAAAAAAAAAAGAATTTAAATATGATTAGTTAATAAAATAGAAACAAAAAAAATCAGCTGAAACATTGTAAATTGAATGGAGAAAGAGAATAAGGAGTTAATTAGGGATGATTAAATTAAGGGTTAATAATGCGTTAAACAGAGGAACATTCAATTTAAAAAAAATATTTTTTAATTTACAGGTTTCTTTCTGACGTTATCTGCAAATGAAGTTAATCCCTTTGATCTGTAGATTAATAAACAGAAAGATACAAAATGAAACAATGTTTCTTTGTATCTTTCTGTGTTAGGGGCTGAGTAATGTTGAGAAACATTGTCAGGCTGCTTTTGTTTTGACAGCTCCAGCCACCTGGACCTTCTCTGTGTCTTCAGCTATGCAGCTGTGATTGATAAGAGCTGAATTGCCATGTACTGGGATGGGGATGGTCCCGGCAGCAAGGCAGGACTGGTTGTTCTACACAAGCCCTTTGTACAATGATTACTTTTTTGGGTGTGTGTAAACTTACCTGCCTGTTCACAATCCTCCGCAGAATGTACTCTGATCTACGCATGGACAGTTTAGATTACATTTCTGGCATGGTGCCTGTGTGCAGTGATTAATGACTCCCACACATGGGTGGAAGTGATGTCATTCCATGCCAGCCAATCAGCTGGCTGAAGACAGACACCTGGAAGAAGCTGGGGAGAAGACTCTGGAGAGGGGCCATGCAGGTGTCAGACTGTTGGAGCAGAGGTAAGTATCTCTACCTTTAGTTATGCTTTGACAGAATATAATATGTTTTTCTTTAGTGGGCCTTTACTTGCACACCAGTTCTGTCACTATTAAATCTGTTCTTTACCACTGAATATATTTCTACAGCTGCAGTTCCTATGGATCATATAGACAAGATGGCACAGGAGTGTATGAGAGACTTGGATGCAGAGGAAGAAGGGGACAATGATGATCTAGAGGATGATGATGATTTTGCTGGTCAGTTTGACTTTTTGTTTTGGTTAGCATTAAAAAGGTTACATGTATGCAGATATACTGTATCTGGGCGTCTCTTGTGGTTTCAGGCTGAGCTGCAGGAAGTGATGGGGGCGGTAGAGGATGATGAGTCTTCTGTTGACACACAAGATGTTGAAGAAGCTGAACTTCAGCAAGTGGAAGAAGCAGAGCCTGCTAAACAAGTTACCTCTTCAGCTGAAGACCACAAAGGTCCCTCTAAGGTAACATACCTGCACAGGCAGATGCCGTTGGATAGGCTGAGACTGATGGGTTGTCTGGGCTGATGTCTCCATAGGTTTTTGTTCTATTATTATCTAAAATAACCTCTAGAGCCAGGCTCAGTGTTCACACTGTATGTCAATGAACAGGTCCTCCTTCATTACCACATCTGATGCATTTAAAGCTGAATTTTAGGCAAGATAAGTACACAGAAGAAATACATATGTTGAAGCTGTTCATCTGTCAAAGGATTTGTTCTTGTGTCTTTCCGGTTCTGGGATTTACACAGCACAGCCACACAAAGCCAGCCTGGAAGCTTTATTATCACCATGCCCCCAGCAAGCTATTAAAGCCAGACTCCAGGAAACTTGATAATTATTTCTTGACGTAAAATCTTTTTGTTGGGGTCCATCATGGGGCACATGACTCTTCTGTGTTTATAGTCTACCCCTAATACTGCTGTACTGAAAACTGACGCATCAATAGTGTGGTAGAAGGTATGCTTAGCTCTCCAACTGATTTTTTTTTTTTTTTTTTGTGCCAGTGTCCATATTCTTCAAAAGGCAGCAGTTGTCAGAATACACTGTTTAGTGGCTGCAGCCAAGAGAAAAGTTATCCAACAAGTCCTTTTGACAGAAGTCAAGCAAACATTTGACTTCTCTTGAGTGAGGACAATCACATGCTGATCCAAATTCAGCCAGAGATCACTGTATGGCCAGCTTTAGTCCTCATTGGTGAGATTTTCACTCACATTCTGTCTTGACCACTGTCACAATGAGAGCAATTTCTCCAGCAGTGATTCAGAGAGACACACACACACAGACACACACACACAGACACACACACACAGACACACACACACAGACACACACACACAGACACACACACACAGACACACACACACAGACACACACACACAGACACACACACACACAGACACACACACACAGACACACACACACAGACACACACACACAGACACACACACACAGACACACACACACAGACACACACACACAGACACACACACACAGACACACACACACAGACACAGACACACACACACAGACACACAGACACAGACACACACACACAGACACAGACACACAGACACACACACACAGACACACACACACAGACACACACACACAATATGACTGATCATGCTAAAAAACTGTCTTTTATTTAAGGATAGTGATCATATGAAGCCATTTATTATCACATAGTTCTACGACACCTTTTTAAATCCTATTGATAACAGAAATCACCCAAATGGCCCTGATCAAAAGTTTACATACCCTGGAATGTTTGGCCTTGGTACAGACGCACACGGGTAAAATGCCAATTAAAGGTTAATTTCCCATATCTGTGGCTTTTTTTAAATGTAACTAGTGTCTGTGTGTAAATAGTGAGTTTTTTAGCTCTCATGTGGATGCACTGAGCAGGCTAGATACTGAGCCATGAGGAGCAGAAAAGAACCATCAAAAGATCTGTGTAACAAGGTAATGGAACCTTATAAATATGGAAAAGGATATAAAAGGATATCCAAAGCCTTGAATATACCAGTCAGTACTGTTCAATCACCTATTAAGAAGTGGAAAATTTGGGGATCTCTTGATACCAAGCCAAGGTCAGGTAAACCAAGAAAGATTGCAGCCACAACTGACAGAAGAATTGTTCAGGATACAAACAAAATCCCACACGTAACCTCAGGAGAAATGCAGGCTGCTCTGGAAAAAAGTTTTTTTTTCAAGAAGCACAATACAACGATACTTGAACAAAAAATGAGCTGCATGGTTGAGTTGCCAAAAAGAATACTTTACTGCACCCATGACACAAATAAAGCCCGGTTACAATATGCCTGACAATACCTTCACACACCTCACAGCTTCTGGCACACTGTAATCTGGAGTGATGAGACCAAAGTAAAGCTTTCACAACCATAAACGCTATGTTTGGAGAGGGGTCAACAAGGTTTATAGGAACAAGAATACCATCACCACTGTGAAGCATGGTGGTGGCTCACTGGTGTTTTGTGGGTGTATGAGCTCTAAAGGCATGGGGAATCTTGTGAAAATTGATGGCAAGATGAATGCAACATTGTATCAGGAAATACTGGCAGACAGTTTGCATTCTTCTGCAAGAAAGCTGTGCATGGGACACACTTGGACTTTCCAGCACAACAAGGCCCCTAAGTACAAGGCCAAGTTGATCCTCCAGTAGTTATAGCAGAAATAGGTGAAGGTTCTGGAGTGGCCATCACAGTCTCTAGAACTTAATTTCATTGACCCACTGAGGGAAGATCTCAAACGTGCTTCTTGTAAGACGAACAAAGACATGCAAGTCTTGCATAACCTGAAGACATTTTGCCATGATGAATGGGCATATGTACCACCTGAAAGAATTCGGGGCCTCAGAGACAACTATTAGAAAAGACTGCATGCTGTCATTGATGCTAAAGGGGGCAATACACAGTATTAAGAACTAAGGGTATACCGACTTTTCAACAGGGGTAATTTCATTTATTTACATGTTGCCATATTTTGTTTTTTTATGATTGTGCCATTCTGTTATGACCTACAGATGAATATGAATCCCATAAGAAATAAATGTTTTTTCCCTGCTCACTCATGTTTTCTTTAATATGGTACATACTGTATACATTTCTCCAAGGGTATGCAAACTTTTGAGCACAACTGTATATGTGTGTGTCTGTGCGCGCGCGTGTATTTAAAATATATAATTTTTTTCCCTTCAGATCTACTTGGCTGACCCCCAAAACATGTATAGTACAAATACATAATCTGTTTAAAAAATCCATAGGTGTTTGTGTGACTAGAGTTTACTAAAATGAGGGCTAAAAGATGAAAAAAAGACAGTGTCCCTTTTAACGTGTTTTGTATGACAATTTGATCAAAGTATATATTTTACATTTATTTTCCGATGCACGGGTTATTTTTAACATTTCCATTTTTAGTTTGAATCCGTTTACTTATAAATCCCAGGCTCAGCCGTGGTAACGGTTTTTCCCACTGACTGCAGCTGGTCCGACCACTCCCTGAAGCGTGAGACAGAGCGCTTACTGTTCTCTGCTACCTCCACTCGTCTCTCCCGCGTCCCTTTGTTTTTATTTCCACCAGTCATGCTCATTCAAGACGTTCCCTCACTCACAATGTAGAACACTCACTTGCACAGACTGGGATTGCTGGGATAGAAGTTCTCTCTGGCTTTTTAGGTTTTCTAGGTTTTTTTTTTTATATTTGTCTATTAGAGGATTGTAAAGTATTACTGAAAGGGCACAGAGCACTTGACAGCTGATGGCAGTAATCTTTTCATCTCGGCATGCTACCATATGTTCAGGTACTTTCTCTGCCCAGTGACTGATATTTTCCGACACACATTGGTCTTCAGCATGTTTACTTTATTTTTAATATTTAAATACATTCGTCATTGTATATTTTATATGTAGAGTTTAGAAGCTTGTGTCTCTTTCTGGTTTCTGTGCATGTAAATATTTATATATATAATATATATATATATATATATATATATATATATATATATATATATATATATATATATTTATATACAGTGTGTGTGTATCTATCAATCTATATATAAAACCTGATTTATGGTTCCTCTCCCTGTGTCTGTGGTTCAGGTCTAACAATGTTCAAGTCACACCTGTGTGTTTTGTGTATTGCAGGTGTCATGACACATTGTACATGTTTACATGACTCCCAGTATAACAGTATAATATGCATTTTGTTGGCAACCACACCAAATGCAGCAAACAGGTTTTGTTTTTCAGTGGAACACACCTAAAACATGCATATGTGAATAGGGCCTAACTGAGCTTACATCACCATGGCCATTTAAATAATTGTATATTATTAAACTGTAAAAAGCTTTAAAACAAGTTCTCACAGAAACTTTAAGCTGCAGGCACTGCGGAGAAATTCATCCTTGAAGTTTACAACAGAGGCACTAAAATAGTAGGTCATCCCCTTGTTTCCTTTGGCAGAGCAGCAACATGAGAGTCTGCTAGCTTTCTTGTAAACAAAACAGCAGGTGACTAGGTGCAACTAAATTTCAGTGCTTATGCTGTGATCCTGGGTTAAAGTGGTTGTATACGTTCAAGGGTTTTTACCTTCATGCATTCTATGCATGAAGATAAAAAAACTTCTCTGTGCAGCATCCCCCCCAGCCCCCACCCCCAATACTCACCTTAGCCTCCTCTCAATCCAGCAATGTGCACTGGAGTCTCGGCTATCCTGGGACTCCCTCTCCTCATTGGGCTGAGACAGCACAGCCAGTGAGCCAAAGAGAAGAGAGAGAGGGCAGGGCTCAGCCGCAGCTCTGTGTGAATGTAGCAGCCGCTGAGGAGTGCGCATGCTCAGGTGCCCCCATAGCAAGCTGCTTGCTGTGGGGGCACCTGACAGGAGGATGGGGCCAGAAGCGCTGGTGGGGTACCCAAGAAGAGGAGGATCCGAGCTGCTCTGTGCAAAACCACTGCACACAGCAGGTAAGTATAGACATGTACACTGAGCATTCTCATACACAGCTCATTGTACAATCCCAACATATGCTGGATATCTGTATGAAGGAACTCCTGTACATCATCATGGCCAGCCCATTTAAGATGGCCAAAGATCCCAAACCTGGAATAATCAGGCAAGAAGGTATTGATGAAAGTAGAGGTGTAGGGATGAGTATAGGTCTGCTTTAATGTCCTTACCGAGTGGGCACAGGTTAACTTTTAAGCAGTGTTGCTAATCTCATTCTGTGATAAATAGGTGACCACAAAGGGAGCATTCTGAAATCTTTATCTAAAATATAATCAAAATATGGAACAGCAGCCAATAAAATATGAAATACAGATCAAAACTTGCTTTCATTTTAACCTTACAGTTGTAATTCAGGTTGTATACTCAGTGCAAATACACTAGTTTCACATTTTTTAAAAAAGGAATGTAGAACCCATGTTTTTCATATACTGGATTTATAACTTTGTAATAAAAGGTTATATGACTTTCAGCTGCAGGAAACTTTCTCTTGGTTGGCCTATACCACCTGAGCATAGCCCATCACACTTAACTGCTGCTTTATTCCTTCTTTAGACAAGCACGGGGGGATTGCTGCAAACGCTACAAGACCGGATCACCAACTACCAGTCAGCAATTGCCAATGCAAAACAAGCCAATGAGACTTCCAAAGCCAGGCGATATGACCGAGGATTAAAGGTTGGTTCCAGTATTGATATAGGCCTTTGAGTCAAGACTTTTGTTTTTTTTACTTTAAAGCAGCTCCTTTAACTACTTGCCGACCGCAGATAGCCGAATGACGGCTACACTGCGGCCGGCCAGTTCTGGGAGGACGTCATATGACGTCCTCCCAGAACGCGCTCTCATGCGCCCCCCCCCCCCCCCCGCGATCTCCTATGGACACAGCTGATCACGTGATGTGGTAAAAGGCCAATCACAGCGGCCTTTTACCACGTGATCAGCTGTGTGCAATGACACGCTGATCACCGGGAAATACAATTGCTGGTTGTCGGCTGCACTTTCCTCACGCTGTCAGAGCGTGAGGAAAGTACTGCCGAGAACCGGCAGTTGTCAGAGCAGGGATCGGTACCGATTATCAGGGCACTGATGATCAGTGCCCTGATGATCGGTGCCCATCAGTGCACCCACCTGTGCCCAGCAGCGCCCACCTGTTCCCATCAGTGCGCCCACCTGTGCCACCTAACTGTGCCCAGAAGTGCCACCTAACTGTGCCCAGCAGTGCCACACACCAGTGCCACCCATCAGTGCAGCCCAGCAGTGCTGCCAGTCGGTGCCCAGTGGTTGTGCCAGTCAGTGCCCAGCAGTTGCGCCAGTCAATACCTAGCAGTGCCGCCAGTCAGTGCCACCTATCAGTTCTGTCTATCAGTGCCACCTATCAGTGCTGTCTATCAGTGCCGCCTATCCGTGACACATCATTAGTGCCGCCTATCAGTGCCCATCAGTGCTGGCTATCAGTGCCCATCAGTGCTGCCTATTAGTGCCCATCAGTGCTGCCTCAACGCAAATCAGTGAAGGAGAAAAATTACCTGTTTGAAAAATTTTATAATAGAAACAAAGAAATTTATTTATTTATTTTCAAAATGTTTGCACTTTTTTTGTTTATAGTGCAAAAAGTAAAGTACCCAGTGGCAATTAAATACCACCAAAAGAAAGCTCTATTTGTGAGAAAATAAATGATAAAAATTTCATATGGGTACAATCTTGCATGACCGCGCAATTGTCAATCTGAAAGCTGAAAATTGTCCTGGTAAAGAAGGGGATATAAGTGCCCAGTAGGCAAGTGGTTAAAGTACACGTGTATCCTACACTAAAATATTTCACGTGTTCTTGGGAAATCGATACATACCACTAGAAAAATGGCTTACCAAATCTTGATTCTTCTTAAAAAAAGTACCCCATGATTCTGACAGCCTCCTGGTCCTCCTCTAGGTAGGTGACCACATTGCAGGGCTTACAGTGAATTCACTACAATATTGTCCCGCTCAGCAGCTGTACAGGGCTGCATTCAGTGGTGTATTTAGGTTTCGTGCTGCCCCAGGCAACACAAAAATTGGCTCCCCCCATTGACCAACACCCCAGCGCCCCCCCCATGCCCACTCGAGAGAGTCTTTCACTACCACAGCCCCCCATACACTGGCAACCCCCACCCCGACAAGAGATAAGACACTCAGCTTCACAGCCCTGGACATCCTCAGGAACATGAGTCAGGCTCTGCATACACCATCAAGCAGTCCACAGCCTCTCTCAGATCCCACCTGGTCCCCGTCCTGCATGTGTCACTTCTTCCTTTCCTTCTTTCGGGGGGACAGCACTGCCCCCCTGAAAAATGCTGCTGCCCCCCCCTGAAAAATGCCGCCCTAGGCAAATGCCTTGTTTGCCTTGTGGTAAATACACCCCTGGCTGCATTGCTACGGACTCTGAAAAAGCCCCTCCACTTGCCCGCCAATGACTGATGCATGATCCAAGAAGGCAACCTGCATCTGGAGGAGGTGTTGCTTAGTGACATCTTGGGTCCATGTTCTGGCAGTGCGAAGGTCTTGGTAGTAGTTGTCTGTAATCATGTCATGGGGCAAAGAGGACCTTGCAGCCTAAGAGAAGGGAAAATAACCCTGTCTTTTCCAAATGAAGGGGAATGGATTATGTTAAACATCAGTTTTAACTTGTTAAGGCTGGGTTCACATATATGTGGTGCGGTATATCGCATGTGATTCACACAGGAACCGCTCCGCATTCATGTGCAAATCACATGCGATTTGTGTACGATGCGTTTATAGCCATACATTTTGTATGGCTCTATTCGCACCCGCCGCACCAAAACGTGCAGGACCCTTTTTTTGGTCTGCACTAGAATCAGATTGCATGGGTATTCATACCTGTACGATCTGATTCTGCACATCGCACCGTGTTTTGCGGACCTCTATCGGGGTGCTGCTAACATACACATCCACAGCGGTTCCCATGAACATGGTGCGATTCTGATGCGGTGTGGAATTCGCACAGAAAACTGCGAATTCCGCACTGCATCAGTGTGAACCAGGGCTTAATGTCATGTTTGAATTTTTTGTATGATTAATACATTTTAACTTTTGTATAGGTATGCTTTATATGACTAATTACTGTAGTCATTATGTAGTCGCTTTATCGTTTTATTTCAAGGAAATTGTTGTGCAGTCACATAACCGAGCATTCAAAGAACATAAAACAGAGAATATGATGTATCAGTGTACTCTCTACCTATATTAGATAGAATATTATCAATCTGCATATTTCTGGATTCTAATCTTACAGACACTGGAATCTATGTTGAAAGCTGCTAAACAAGGCAAGCCTGTGAATGAGGAGGAGATGCCACCACCAGTGGCCAGTGGGAAATCTGCAGAAGCTCCACAAACTCCACTCCCCACCATCACTGCACAGGAATCGGCTCCAGCTTTAACTGAATCAGAAACAGTTAGCAGCCAGAGCCAGCCTGTGGAGGCAGAAGTACCAATTACTGCCAGCGAGGAGCCAGCTGTCACACAAGAAGAAGCAGGTGAGCGATTAGGAGCCCATGTCATGTTGAGGATTCCTTTTATTGTTTTCATGCAGTAAAGGAAGACTGATGCTCTGTTCACACCTATGCAGGTGCGGTGGTGCACGTGCGTTTTTTGGCAGTTTTATGTGTCACATTTTTAGGGGGCTAACCTATATGTGAAAAATCGCACAAAAGTGTGCCAGGACCCTCCTTTTTTTTTTTTTTTTTTTTTTTTTTTTTAAGTCACACCACACAAAAACCAGCTGTACTCTGAGAAGAGGAGTGTGTGAGGCACAAATTAAGGAGGATTTGGCTCATTCAGGGAGTGTAAGGGCTCATTTACACCAGCACAGTTGTGCTGTGTACCCAACACATGCACTGCAGTGTATAACAATACCATTGAGAGGAAAAAAAAAATAAAGCACTGTGATGCATGTTAACATCGCAACATACCAGCATGCATTTGTGTGAATGGGACCTAAAGGAAGTTTTTGCTTTTTGGAGGCATGTGCATCACACAGTAACTGGATTTGATTAGATTGTCATACAAGAGCCTTTAGTTGTCCACTTCCTGGGCACAGTGTAGAAGTCTTAACTTTTGCTTTCCAAAGATGTGATTTCTGGTTCCACACTCTTTTTTTTCTGCTGCTGCTGTCTTTGTAATACAATTTGCATCATGTAGAACTTAGCAGACATTCCTTACCTCGAAAGTTTTGAAATGAATTCAGGGACATAATTAGACCACAATGTTCTGGATGAGAATGTGGCTCCATCAGAGAGCACAGTGTGGGAATCATTCAGCACTTGGTCTGTTCAGTAATGTTTTTTGCAAAATGTCCAACTGGAAATTAGTTGCTTATCTGTGTTAGTTTTACTGTTAATGGCTAAGTTCACCTTTTACAGAACCTGGCCCTTGCAGTCAAGGGGCCTCAGTAGTTGCAAATGCACAGTGCATTTTGTTGAAATATAATAGTTAGATGCCGGTGCCTTATATTATTATTATTATTACACCGCCGTCAATTTCCGCAGCGCTTTACATGTAAATATATATTGTACATTCACATCAGTCCCTAACCCTCAAGGATTGTACAATCTAAGGTCCCTAACTCACATTCATACATATTAGAGCCAATTTAGAGAAGAACCAATTAACCTACCAGCATGTCTTTGGAGTGTAGAAGGAAACCGGAGTACCCGGAGGAAACCCGCACAGGAAAAACATGCAAACTCTAAGCAGGTGGTGCCGTGGTTGGGATTCAAACCAATGACCTTAGTACTGCCAGGCGGAAGTGCTTACCATTTATCCACTGTGATGCCCTTACCTGTAGGCTTCTTCTGTCACCCATGCTGCTTGGCCAAAATACTATATTGTTTACATCCTTGCGTCCTGGCCTGATTGCCTGACAAAGCAGTGATGTTAGGTGTAAGTGTCAATGGCTGCTATGTACTGCAGTTAGCTCAGGACATAAGGATGTAAACTACTGGGGTGCCTTGTCTGCATGGGCCAGTTTCTGTAAATTGTGGACTTAGCCTTTAAAGGATTTGAAACCTGTTCCACCTGTTTTTAGGGTGGAACATGTAACATGTTCCAGCATCTGAACCTTCTCCCCCCAATCCCCCCTCCTCCCTGTGACAGTTGGCAGGAGATCCTTTCCCCTACCCATTGTCACAATTTAAAAACAGTGCGGCTGTGCGGGGCTCCGCCCACATGACTCCATCATTTATTTACAGTTTCCTGTGAATGAATAGACTACAAGTACTGTCATGCATTGCGGCCGACAGGTTGTAGTTAGCAATGAACTGTGAGGGCGCTAGTGAGCGCTCTCATAGTTCAGTGATCTTCCAGCTCTCAAGTAACTGCCTGCCTGTACGAGGGATGGGAAGACCAGGGGCATATTTACCACAAGGCATTTGCCTGGGGAGGGCATTTTTTAGGGGGGCAGCACTGCGCCATGGAAAAATGGACATATGTGGCATGAGGGCAAGGTGGGATCCGAGAGAGGTTGCGGACTGTTTGATGGTGTTTGCAGGGCCCAATTGGCATTTATCATTCTCTCTGTCTCCAGGGGGGTGGAGGGGTGGGTTTTAATGGAAGGCTCTCTGGTATGGGGGGGGGGGGGTGGAGCAGGGGTGTTGTTGATCACTGTCGGGGGGGGGGGGGGGGGTCTGTGTTGGTCAATGTTATACTCTCTCCGCCGGGGAGGGGGGACTTCCAAATTTTGTGTTGCCTAGGGAAGCACAAAACCTAAGTACACCACTAGGGAAGACAGCTGTCCTGAGTGTCTGCAGGAGCCTGACATTACCCCATGAGCTGCTGATTGCGGGTACAACGCTCGGCAGGCTTCGAAGAAAAAAAACAATAAATGCACATTTTTTTACCTACAAAAAAGTGCATTTTTTTTCTTTTTGCAAAAAGTGAACTTAGCCTTTAGGAATCATTGATAATCTAATGCTATCTTTTGAAACTACAGAGAGCAAGACTCTACTCATGACAAGGCACAATGAGTACAAGATGGCGGCTCTGCGAGCCAAGCAGAGGGGAGATATTGAGAAGGCCAAAGAGTACATGAAGATTTGCAAGGTGTGTGCCATTCACTGCATTGTCATTTTGAAAATTGTCTTTTTAATTAAGTCTCATGGATATCAATTACATTTGAATAAGTCAGCAAAGTGAAATTAAGCATGCCATAACATTTACTATAAGAAAAGTGTATCACTATTGTCGTGCAAAGAATCTGGATTCTTTTTACTACTTTTTTTTTTCTTTTTCAGAAATTTAGTTCTGTTCTAGAAGCTATGGAGAGCGGACAACCTGTTGATCTTAGTCAGATGCCTCCTCCCCCTAATGGTAGGTAGAAGCAAAGGCAGTACAGTACACATGCTAAGAAGGAACTTCTACATGGGTTTCAAGGAGATTTTGTTTTTCTTTAGACCAAGAGGTGCAAACCTCAGAACAGAGCACACCAGAACCCCAAGAGCCCAGCCCTGCCACCAGACCAGGTGAGTACTGATGTCAGAGTTCAATGAGTGCGTGGTTGTATTTAATTTCACTTAAAATTGCGTGCTAGAAATAATATCTGCATGCCACTGTTCTCCTTTCTTCATAGTGAGGGAAATAGGCACTTCACTTCACACTGCGACATGATGGAGCATAAGCCAAGTCAGGGTTTTAAATTCTCAGAAGATTGTGATTATGGCGATCTGAATGATCCCTCTCCGCCTGACGCTCTCAGTGAGAATTTTACAGCCAATATACACTTAATTTGACCCTATATGGGCAACTTTTAATCAATTCTGATGACTTTTGATTCACTGGGAATCACTAATATGATCAGTAGTGATCACAGGAAAGTATTCTACCGCCTACAAGTTCAATCGACCCCTTGAAGGCAAAACTGGGCTTGTGTTGATCATCTGACATGCCTGTCAATGTGCAAAGTTAAAATTGTGATCAAATTTAGGAGTCAAAAGCAATCAGATTTTTCTGCTGCATTTGATCGGGTTATTTGGATTCTGTCTCTTTGCAGTCAATCAAAACCACTGTATTGTTTCATGATTGGGGCAAAATACTGTATGTAAATGGAAGGTTCTGTCACTCAATCAGATGGCTTTGTGTATGGTCAGCTTTATAGTGTATTATTATGGGACATTTTTGATCAATGTGTTGCTGAGAAGAAATGATTCAGACAGTTGGTGTTGTCCATGGTAACCAGTCAGATTTTGTTGTTTATGTTTCTGTATAATAAAAGGTGAATGTCATTACAAACAAAGCACAACAGCTTTTCTCCTGGGCCCAGTGCTAAACTATTGAATTCACAAAGCTGTTCCTTGTCTGCTCTCCAGAAGTTCCTGCAGTTACGGTGTTGCAAGCTCTGCAGCAAAGGATGGATCGCTACAAATCTGCAGCGCAGCAAGCCAAAGCCAATGGAGATGACAGGAAGGCCAGAATGCATGAGAGGATTGTCAAGGTATGAGATGGGTTAGAATAACACTTGCCCTCCAGAGGATTTACCCCCCTTCCTGACCAGTCCATTTTTTGCGATATGGCACTGCGTTACTTTAACTGACAATTGCGCGGTCATGCAATGCTGCATCCAAATGAAATTCACATCCTTTTTTTCCCACCAATACAGCTCTCTTTCAGTGGTATTTGATCACCTCTGCGGTTTTTATTTTTTACGCTATAAACAAAAAAAACCACAATTTTGAAAAAAATATATATATTTTTGACTTTTTGCTATTTATCCTGCCTGGAGGTATTCCCGAGTGTAGGTTGGGGTAAAGTTTCAGCACCACAAGCGGTAACCCGTGCTACACTCGGGCTTACCATGTGGTGCTGCTTTGGGATCTGTTCTTCTCTTACCTTGTTCTGCGCTCCCGCGATGTCCCTCCTGCAGTGTCCCTGGCAATGTCCTCTGGCGGATGCCGGCATCTGTCTTCTGGGTTCCGTCCCCTGCGGCGTCAGGACGTACGGGGGACGGAACGGTGGGAAATTTGAAAATGACAAAAGGTGACATTCACTAAATACACTAAAATCACATAGTATAACATTACTGTATCAAACCATTTCACATACATTTTGTCCCGAGTGCTTTGTCCTGCGCCCTGCCTGCATTTTTACTGTTCTTTCTGCCTGGAAACTGAGAAATGTCCATGGCGTCCAAAAAGCGTCCCTTTAGGTCAAAAGCAGTTTTAGACCAGCTAGAGAACAGCGATAGTAAATTAGAACCACTTGCAGAATTGAGTGATAATGATTTGTAGGGAAATTCGTTATCAGACACTGAAAACAATTTTGCGACTTTGCTCAGCGATGTGCGAACTTGGCGCTCTATTTCAAATTTCATTGTTTTTGGTTTGATTATATTATTGAATTAAATTTATTATTATTATATTATTATTTTTTATGATTATTAATAATTTTGGGTTTTAAATTTTATCATACCCGGAATGTTTACTAGACTCTTGTTCGGACAGATTTCAGTGAGTTATTCCTAAAAATGACAGGCCTACAATAAAAAAACGACATATTTCCATGCAAAAAAATGTACCGCTTTGAGCACAGAAATATGGACATAATCAGACAGCTAGGGAGGTTAAACATGTCCAGTAAAAAATTTTAAAAATCAGATTTTTGTAAACTTCTTGTTAAAAAAAAAACCCAATACATGTAATTGGTTTATGTGAAAGTTTTAGCATTTACAAATGGCGGTATATATACTGGAATTTTTTTTTTCTTTTTACTAGTAATGGCGGCAATCAGCGACCTTTAGTGGGATTGCGGCGGGCATTGTGACACTATTGGGAACTGACTTGGTGTCACTGACATCCCCATTGACACCAATATAGTGTTCAGTGTTAATAAAAAGCACTGACACTGTACTAATGGCACTGGGCAGGAAGGGGTTAACATGTGGGGCGATCAAAGGTTTAACTGTGTGCTGTTTTACTATGTGGGCTGTGTGTGTGTTTCACTGTAAGCACACTGCTTTGTATGGCTCTGCTATGCAGAGCCATACAAAGCAGTATGCGGGAGCTGACGTAAGAGATTTGTATTGTTTACATACAGGTCTCTCCCCCGTTGGAAATCCTCGGAGATCGCCGGGTTCCAGTGGGGAATCACTGACTGGGACCCGGTAACTGACAGCCGAGACCGCAAATGGCAGCGCAGGTAGGGCACATGCGCGCCCCCTACCTGGAACTGCAAAATCACGTCTATATATGTGATTTCGTGCACCCGTGCCGCCCTTTAGCCGTATTTCTGCTATAGGGCAACACGGAAGCGGTTAAGGGCCAGTTCACATCAGAATGCAGTGCGGGAAACCGGGGTTCTATGAGCATTTCCTGCACTGCATTTAAAACACACTGCACTTGAGTTCTGCAGCAGGTGTCTGTGTTAACAACATCCCAAAAGCAGCTCACAAACGCAATGCATTTGCCTGCACTGGATCACATGGTACAGTAGTATCATTCGATCCGGATGCTGTGCGTTTTATAAAGTAGCGCATGCACTACTTTTGGTGTGGTTCAAATGAATGGGACGAAATTGCACTGTACTCGTATCGCATGTGAATCGCACAGAAACATGCTGCTGTGAACCGTCCCGAAGGGAAACGTTAGCTGATAGAAAAATGTAAGCTGCCAGTTCTAGCCTCTGCCTCTGAAATTGCCAGATGTCATGTCATGTTAACCCTGTAACACTGGTACAGCTCCAATTCCAAACAAAGTTAGTAAAATCTACAATGTATTACTGAGGTAATCCAACACTCTCTCCCTGAGGTAATCCAACACTCTCTCCCTGAGGTAATCCAACACTCTCTCCCTGAGGTAATCCAACACTCTCTCCCTGAGGTAATCCAACACTCTCTCCCTGAGGTAATCCAACACTCTCTCCCTGAGGTAATCCAACACTCTCTCCCTGAGGTAATCCAACACTCTCTCCCTGAGGTAATCCAACACTCTCTCCCTGAGGTAATCCAACACTCTCTCCCTGAGGTAATCCAACTGCCCCTGTGGTAATCCAACACTCTCTCCCTGAGGTAATCCAACACTCTCTCCCTGAGTATAATCCAACACTCTCTCCCTGAGGTAACCAACACTCTCCATTACCTGAGGGAATCCAACACTCTCTCCCTGAGGGAATCCAACACTCTCTCCCTGAGGGAATCCAAACACTCTCTCTTCTGAGGGAATCCAACACTCTCTCCCTGAGGGGAATCCAACACCTCTCCCTGAGGTAATCCAACACTCTCTCCCTGAGGTCACCCAAAGACTCTCTCCCTTGAGGGTAACCCAACACTCTCTACCCCTGAGGTAACCCCACTCTCTCCTGAGGTAACCCAACACTCTCTCCCTGAGGTAACCCAACACACTCTCTCCCTGAGGTAACCCAACACCTCTCCTGAGGTAACCCAACACTCTCTCCCTGAGGTAACCCAACACTCTCTCCCTGAGGTAACCCAACACTCTCTCTGACTGAGGTAACCCCAACACTCTCTCCTGAGGTAACCCAACACACTCTCCCTGAGGTAATCCAACACTCTCTCCTTAGGTAACCCAACACTCTCTCTCCTGAGGTAACCCAACACTCTCTCCCTGAGGTAACCCAACACCTCTCCCTGAGGTTCACTGAGGTAACCCAACACCTCTCCCTGAGGTAACCCAACACTCTCTCCCTGAGGTAACCCAACACACTCTCACTGAGGTAACCCAACACTCCTCTCCCTGAGGTAACCCAACACACTCTCCCTGAGGTAATCCCAACACTCTCTCCCTGAGGTAACCCAACACTCTCTCCCTGAGGTAACCCAACACTCTCTCCCTGAGGTAACCCAACACTCTCTCCTGCATGAGGTAAACCCAACACTCCTCTCCCTGAGGTAACCCAACACTCTCCCTCTACTGAGGTAACCCAACACTCTTCACTCCGTAACCCAACACCCTCACTGAGGTAATCCAACACTCTCTTCCTGAGGTAACCCAACACACATCTCCCCTGAGGTAAACCAACACTCTCTCCCTGGAGTAATCCAACACTCTCTCCCTGAGGTAATCCAGCAGCCTCTCCCTGAGGTAACTCTCAACCAGGTAATCCCAGCACTCTCTCCCTGAGGTAATCCAATACTCTCTCCCTGCGGTAATCCAACACTCTCTCCCTGGCGGTAATCCAACACTCTCTCACTGAGGTAATCCAAACTCTCTCACTGAGGTAATCCAACACTCTCCACTGAGGTAATCCAACACTCTCTCACTGAGGTAATCCAACACTCTCTCACTGAGGTAATCCAACACTCTCTCACTGAGGTAATCCAACACTCTCTCACTGAGGTAATCCAACACTCTCTCACTGAGGTAATCCAACACTCTCTCTCACTGAGGTAATCCAACACTCTCTCTACACTGAGGTAATCCAACACTCTCTCACTGAGGTAATCCAACACTCTCTCCCTGAGGTAATCCACTTCTCCCTGACAAACTCTCTCCCTGGGTAATCCAACACTCTCTCCCTGAGGTAATCCAACACTCTCCCTGACGTAATCCAACCCCCTCTCATTACTGAGGTAATCCAACACCCTGAAGTAATCCAACCTCTCATTACTGACGTAACCCAACCCCCCTCTCATTTCTGACGTAACCCAACCCCCCTCTCATTTCTGACGTAACCCAACCCCCCTCTCATTTCTGACGTAACCCAACCCCCCTCTCATTTTCTGACGTAACCCAACCCCCCCCTCATTACTGACGTAATTCAACCCCCTCATTACTGACGTAATTCAACCCCCCTCATTACTGACGTAACCCAACCCCCCCTCATTACTGACGTAATTCAACCCCCTCATTACTGACGTAACCCAACCCCCCCTCTCATTACTGACGTAACCCAACCCCCCTCTCATTACTGACGTAACCCAACCCCCCTCACATTACTGACGTAATTCAACCCCCTCATTAGGGGGGGGGGGGGGGGGGGGGGGGGCTGACGTAATTTAAACCCAGCTTTTTTCAACCAGGATGACTTTTTGGGTGCCTTGGCAAAATGACTAAAATTGCTCCAAATTGCCTAGAAATTGTGCACAGGCAGCTTGCTCTGGTGGCACAAATAGAAGAAGAAGAAGCCAGCGCCGCTTTAACCTCTTGCCGACCGCGCATAGCCGAATGACGGCTTCACCGTGGCCGGCCAGTTCTGAGTGGACGTCATATGACGTCCTCCCAGAACGCGCTCTCTCCTGCGCGCCCCAGGGGGCGCGCACTCGGCGATCTCCGTGATCGCTGTGTCCTACGGACGATCCCACCACCGGCCTTTTACCACGTGATCAGCGGTGTCCAATGACACGCTGATCACAGGGAAATGCAAGTGCCGGTTCTCGGCTGCACTTTCCTCACGCTGTCAGATCGTGAGGAAAGTACTGCCGAGAACCGGCAGTTGTCAGAGCGGGGATCGGCACCGATCATCAGGGCACTGATGATCAGTGCCCTGATGATCGGTGCCCAGCAGTGACACCCGCAAGTTCCGCCCAGCAGTGCGCCCACTAGCCCCGCCCACCCATTCCCAGCAGTGCCCCCACCTGTGCCCAGCAGTGCCCCCACCTGTGCCACTCTGCAGTGCCACCTACCTGTGCCCAGAAGTGCCACCTACATGTGCCCAGCAGTGCCACCCACCTGTGCCCACCAGTGCCCACCAGTGCCGCCCACCTGTGCCCCACCCCACCAGTGCCGCCCACCAGTGCCACCAGTGCCCACCAGTGCAGCCCAGCAGTGCTGCCAGTCAGTGCCACCAGTCAGTGCCTAGGGGTTGTGCCAGTCAGTGCTGCCAGTCAGTGCCCAGAAGTGATGCCAGTCAGTGCCGTCTATCAGTACCCATCATCAGTGTCACCTATCAGTGCCGCCTATCAGTGCTGCTGCATATCAGTGCCGCCTATCCGTGACCCCTAATTAGTGCTGTCTATCAGTGCCGCCTATCCGTGCCACCTCATTAGTACTGCCTATCAGTGCCCTTTAGTGCTGCCTATCAGTGCCCATCAGTGCCGCCTGTCAGTGCCCATCAGTGCCGCCTCATCAACGCAAATCAGTGAAGGAGAAAAAATACCTGTTTGAAAAATTTTATAAAAGAAACAAATAAACTTTTTTTTTTTTTTTCAAATTTTTTGCACATTTTTTAATTTTATAGCGCAAAAAGTAAAGCGCCCCAGTGGCGATTAAATACCACCAAAAGAAAGCTCTATTTGTGAGAAAAAAAATGATCAAAATTTCATATGGGTACAATGTTGCATGACCGCGCAATTGTCAATCAAAGTGCGGCAGCGCTGAAAGCTGAAAATTGGCCTGGTAAGGAAGGGGGTATAAGTGCCTGGTAGGCAAGTGGTTAAGGACTAAAACTCAACTCCAAAGAAGAAATCTATTTATTTTTGGAATGCCTGGTAAATATTGACGTCCTTGATGCTGTTGGAGAGATTGTACCATTCTTCCTATGCCTCTGGCAGCTTTTCAAGAAATGAGTGGAGCTGTTGTCACTGAGACATGAAGACAGAGGCAATAAATTTAATCCGTTAGATATTCTTGGGAAAAAGTGTTTTCTTGCAGTCTGTCTCTACAGGAAGTGGTGGAAATCTCCCTAACAAGTACATTGACAGTATAAACCCAACAAAAGTTGTACCCCTTACCCATCCTGTGCTAATCTAACAAAAAAAAACGAAAAGTTTTTTATCTGCAGTTTGTCTTCAATCTACAACCAAAAACAAAAGCTTTAGTCATTTTATATAAAAACTGCTGTACAGGCTGATTTGTCCAGTGAGCAAAGCCACACTGATAAAGATAATGTTCTGTTGACAAAAAATAATTATTATTAATATTATACCTTTATGACTTTATATGCAGTGCACAAACACATAGTGGTTGTGTTTTATTAATCCTTTACTTTTCCATAAAGGGAAAACTAAACAAAGTATCGGAAGCTAGGCAGAGCACACAAGGATCTGTTCCCTGTTAAATGTAACCAAATTAATTTCTTTATTGCAGCAATATCAGGATGCCATACGGGCTTCCAAAGCTGGCAGATCAGTGAATCTGGCAGAGCTCCCAGCACCTCCAGGTAACATATTACTTGTTTTGTTCTACATGTAAATTCCATCAAATAGCTTATTGACACAGGCTAACATTTTTTCTGATTGCAGGCCTAGTTTTTATTTTTAATCCATTAATGCAGTCCTAGTTGTTAAAGTAATACTGGCCGTAGACGGTTCATTTTTTTTTTTTTTTGATCAGTTAGCTAGTTGACCGAAAAAAAAAAAAAAGTGAATGGATTCCCCCATCCACACAAGCTAGGTGGATGGAGGAATCCTCCCTGCTGTGCCATTGTATTCTGACAGTGGGTCTTTTCCACTGTCAGAATACTTTGATCAGCAGCTGCAGCCAATTTGCTGCAAGCTGTTAACTGACAAAAGTTTTCCAACAGTCGATGAGGAATGGCCATAGATGAATTGAAATTTTGTATGGTCCTTGCCGAACCGGCTTAATTCAGTCCATCTATGGGTAGATTAAGACTTCTCTTCCCAGGAGTGCTGATTTCCTGGTTCTCTGCTGTGCTCTGTGGTTTCTTCCATCAGCTGCTGTGCCACTACAGGACATGTTAGACTTTACATGCCCGTCAGGCACCATTTTTTTCTTCACTACTGCAGCGATCAGCAACACAGGCAGCAGGAGAGAGATGAGTACTCCATGTCTTTGCAAAGGACAAATGTACTTAAAGTTTTATTTCAGCTGCATATGTTTACTGTTTTGCCTGGTATATTGGCAGGGTAATCCTAATGACTAGTAGAGTCATAACAAGATATAAAATAGCTGGCCAAAATGGCACAGTTGTGGCAGGTAAACAGGAAAATGTATATATTTAAATTTTGTAATAGCAGTGGAATGTTGTCTTTAATTTGACAGCCTTCCTCTTATATTGTTGGCATCTCTGCTGTAAGACAGCTGATCCGGTAAATCACAGATCAATAAGAAGATAGGCTTTTTTGTATCATGGGTTGTCAAGTTGCAACTTAGATCCTGTTCACAATCTTTGGAGTAACATGGGGAGTAAATGTGTGTGGTTTCTGTGCGTTATCACGTGTAGCATATGGTGGGTAGGACATGAAAAACAATGCAGTATGTTGGCATTTCTTAACATTTTAGTGGCACTCCAACTCACCTACGCAGTGCTCTGTATTGCCTATATGTTAACTATTAGTGCTTGTAGTGTGCTGTGTTGGGAAAAAAAATAGTGTTTGTCCAGTTTTCATGTGTTGTGGTGGTTTGGCAGCACCAAAATGAGAGGGGTTCCTAACCCAACGCTTTTCAACTCATAAATGCTGCATGTTAAAATGCATGTTGGAAAAAAAAACATGATGTTTTTATGCATTCTGGGGGTTTGGTAGCCCCTTCACTGCTTACTGCAGCACACATCAACACATGAATACTGCACATTTAAATGCACATGTCTTACCAAGTCACAGTCCTGGAATGGGCCCTAAGGGCAAATTCTCACTTCAGCATTTCCTTGCAAAGTTTTTACTTGTTTTTCAGTAAAGCAACCCATTCATTATATATTTGGCTGCTCCTGAACTGTGACAGACAAAAAAATAAATTCACATTACCCTTTTATTGCATACAGTACATTGTGTGTTGGCTGCTATTGTACAGTGTTTTAGGGTGGCTTTTGTAGCACCACACTCTGCACATAGTTACCATTTTGGCAACTGTGAATGAACTCTAAGAGATACTATAATAGAAAGTACAAGACATGAGCCTTCAGCCAATCTTTATTCTATTTCAAGTGGACTTCTCACCTTTTTTGGAGGGGGAGAACCATTTTATGATCTCGAACAGCTTTTTGGGTTTCAGTCTCCTTACCGTGTAGAAATACCTCCTTGGTTAAAAAATGCAATTTCCTTGTAGGGTTTCCTCCATTCCCTGGCATGGAGAGCGCGGGAGATGTGGGGCAGTGTGGAGAAAGCTTTGGAAGCTGCTCAGAAGTTGGCACATGCTGGTGAGGATGATGGAGCTGAAGATGAAGAGAGGAGGAGGTAGGCAATTTTTGATTACTGAATCTCTAAACTATAAACTCTAGTTACCCCTTGAATACTCCCCTCTGATTTGACCCACAGAGGATTTCTTGTTTTTATTTTTATTTTAAACAGTCTCATCCGGTAATTAAAAATAAAGTTGCTTAAAGAGCGACTAAAATTGCATTTTGCGCACACGTTTTTTCGCATCAAGCATTTAAACGTTTGTGGATTTCGTTGGCCAGGATAATAAATTTTTCAGACCATTACAATATCTCCCTGGTTCGTTGCAGGAGTAGAAAGGCTTCAGCTGGGTCCCTGGACATCCAGCAGGCCTTCGATTGCTGCCTTAAAAAAATATTTTCTGGAGAAAAGAATTCTTGTGGTCAATAAAATTTGAAAGTGTACTTACATCTGTGTTGTTGCTTGAAACCAAAGAATGTTCAGCAACCTGTTGACACACTTATTGCAAACCTTTGGATTGGCCACTTTCTAGGCTGTAGGGCAGCCCACAAACTTTATCGGAAATTACTGATGTGTTGTCCTACGGTGTGTGTAGTGATTTGTATCATTAAAGTGTTCTTTTTTTTTTTTTTTTATTGCCATTCATATCAAACATGTTATACTTACCTGCTCTGTGCAGTGTTTTTGCACAGAGCAGCCCCATCCTCCTCATCATCTCGGGTCCGCTGCTTCTGGCCCTTCTTTCCTGCTGAGTACCCCCAGAGCAAGTGACTTGCTATGGGGGCACCCAAGCAGGTTCGCTCCCAAGGTGTTGCTCTGTGTGTCCATTCACACATAGAGCTGTGGCTCAGACCTGCCCCCTCTCTCTCCTCATGGGCTCACTGACTGTGATTGACAGCAGCGGGAGCCAATGGCTGTACACAGAATGCATGATGGTAGGAAAACCTTGAGCCTTTACAACCACTTTAATTCTCTTTCTTGAAGGTGTTCAAAGCTGTTCTGAATAAAACCTTACTTTGTGATACAATACCACTGCCTCAGAGCACATCTTCATTCCACAACCTGTAATCAGGAGTGCCTCAACCATGCTCTCCTTGGCGAAAACAGAAATTCTTGCACATCCAAAAGCATTTGCATAGATTGTCTTATGAGTGATCTGGCTCTGGTAAATGTTTATGTATTTAAACTGTGCCTTTAGCTTTTTTGTCAGGAGTTTCTCTTTAAAAGTTGCACTTATTGTGCCTGTTTACCAGAGAAACAGGCTTGTACAACATGACCATTTATGAGTAAGGCCAGTTATGTTTGTCTCAGTTAATCTACTCATTGATTTCTTGAATCCAGTGTGGCAAGGACAACTGTTTATATGGTGCATTTAACAGTATGTCCTTCCTGAATTATTTTTAATTTTTTTTTTTTTTTTTAAGTAAATCACACAGATTTTACCCATGTTGCACAATTCAGCCTTGATCATGTGACAGTAAAGAGCTTTTGCACAGATTTCAGGGACTTCCTTTTACACATATTGTTGGTCACAAGAACAGTTGTGCCATATGACTGAAATTTGAGGTTGAGTCTGTCTGAATATCGTGGCTGTGAGAAAAAAAACAAACTATTGCTCCCTTACTTCGGGAAGCGAGATCCACTGTAAGTTTCTGCTTTTATCAATTCTCTTATTCTTTCTACTTTTTCCAACAAATCGTTTTACATTCTTTCTTCCCTTTTTTTTGCTGTTTGCTACCATTGCCTTATCTATAGCATTCCATTCAAACAAATGTCATACCAAAGAAAAAAATCCAACAAGGATTTTGGAAAGGAGGGGGATGATGAGATTGGCATTGCTGGGGTCTTCATCAACTGTTTTTGTTTGCTTTTTACTATGGGGATGCGAAACTTGCATTTAGCAAATCAAATGTGGGTTAGAAAGAGATCAACTGCAAGTCAAATGCAACCTGTCAAGAAATGTTGATCCCAGAAACTTCTCAAATTAATGTCAATCTTATACCATAGACACAAGCCCAAAGGTAGTCAACACAGGCCCTAAATCTGGCTCGCATCTTTGCCCCTGGTGGAGTGGTGCATCATTTTAAACCATTTTTCTCTGAACACCACAGTGTTCAGTCTAACATGTTTATTAGAAGATTCCCATAGACTTCTGTCTGAAAATCTTCAGCCTGATTGCACAGCACAGTGGCTGGAAAGGAGCTGTACTGAGAATCTGTCAGCTTTGACAGGAGCATTGCAGGATTGAAGACATGGAGGTGATCAGGTCACAAACCTACATTTCTTACCCTCTGTACATTGCTAGCCCCCTAATATGTTTATGTGGGTTCTTTAAATGTTTTTTTTAACATACAATTAAAATGTGTGTGTGTAAACCTAATAAAATCTTATATATGCTCTAAAATGTTAATATAATATCAAAAGATGTTCTATTTTTTTATTTTGCAGCTGTAATTTAAATACTTATTATACAGGATTTATATAGCGCCAACAGTTTGCTCAGCGCTTTACAATATAAAGGGAGAAAATATAGCAATGATATAGTTCAATACAAGAGGGTTAGGAGGGCCCTGAACTTCCTTGTGATCCTTTCATGAAGTTCCTTATTCAGGCATTTCCTGTCATAGGACAGCAATGCTTTGTCTCCTAAATGTACGTTTATTTCATCACAAACAACGCAGAAATGCCTGAAAATTGTCATGTAGCCATCATCAGGATGCATTTAGACAGGAAATGACTGCAAAGTGGCTGCAGAAGAACAGGACTATCAATAAAAAGTGAAACAAGTATCTAATCCAGAAAAATGACAGCTGACACATACCGTGTTTCCCCGAAAATAAGACTTCGTACTATTTTTGGGAATTGCTAAAGTATAAGACCTAGTTGTGATCGGGTTTTTTTTTTCAGCCGGAATGTAGTGAAAACGCCGTTCCGCCACCTCCAGCACTGGCCCTGTGCACACCAATATCTACTGTCTCTTCAAACACAAAAACGTGGCTTTTGTGTTTAAGTGACAGCACCATTCGCTCCCATGGAACCTCCCTATCTCTGTACTCACTGTGGGACAGGGAAGGAACAGATATCTGCAGGCGCAGTGTGTTTAGGGACGGGGCATCCTAATGCATGGAAGCCGATGCCCCAGGGTTGATTGCCGGCCAGGGGAAGAGGCGGAGCGGTGAAAGTGCACTTGGTGCACTGTGTGGGAAGATAGGACCCGAAACGGGAGTTACTATAGAGAGAGGGCCGGCTGCTGACAGCAGTGTTTTGCCAATGCTAGCTAACCATATGAGGGCAGTGAAGGGGGGGGGGGATGTGCAAAGGTGAGCTGCAGTCAGGTGTTGCAGAGGTAAATTGACAAGTGAGTTGCAGAAAGGGTGCATAGGTGAGCTTTGGCTGGGGGGGGTGCAGAGGTGAGCTGAGTTGCAACCCACCTCTGCACCCCCTGGCCACAGCTTGCCTCTGCACCTCCCAGCCACAGCTCACCTCTTTGCATCCCCTGTCTGCAACTCACCCATGCACCCTGCCTGAAACTCACCTGTCAATTCACCTCTGCAACACCTGACTGCAGCTCACAACTGTCATCAGCCAGCCCTCTCTATGGTAACACTCATCCACAACTGCCTGCAACTCACCTCTGCACCCCCTGTCCACACCTGGACATTAAAAAAAATAGACCTACCCCCAAAAATAAGACCTAGTGTGTTTTTTTTTTTTTTTTTTTTTTGTTTTTTTTTTTAGCCAAAAAAAATTTAAGACCATGTCTTATTTTCGGGGAAACACGGCAGTACTCAAACAATGTAAATGTAATTGGGGTTTATATCTAATTTACAGGTACTTTAAAAAAGTACGTTGTTTACAGTTTAAAATGAACATGCAGCATGGGAAGCTCAGAGTTCTGAGTACTCTCTTTTTTTTTTTTTTTTTTTTTTTTTTTTTTTTTAGGGTGAACAGCCAGCAAAGAAACCTGTCCCACAAAAGCCCATCCAGATTGTCAAACCACAGGTGTCATCAACCCTTCCACAGCAAGATGAGGCACCTCAAAAAACCAAAGTCGCTGAAACCACAGAGCCCACTGGGGACTTTCCCCCTGAAGGTATGGATAGGAATAATATACATAAGCTCTGGGGTTCTGTTGTGTTCATGGCCCCAAAAAGCGGACTTTTCTAACTTTCATCCGGTCATGTGACTTTCAGTACAAGAACAGCTGGAATTCCTGGAGAACCGCAGGAGACAGTACAGGAAAGCAGCTCTCCAAGCTAAGAAAAAAAAATGACCTGGTCCTTGCCAAAGAGCACATGGTAGTGGTCCGTACTATCCAAGCTTCCATCGATAAAGTCAAAAGTGGGACCCTGGTTGACATTGCCAAGGTTGGTGCATCAACAGACTTTAACTTCACCTGTTAAAGCGGTAGTAAACTTCTGAAAAAAGAAAATTTTCCTTCTGGAAGGTAATATCATGCGATGCATCAAAGCAGATTATGAAAGACTCACCTTGAAACAAAGCCCTCCAGCGGTGCGCTATCACAACTGACAGGGCTTCCATCTACACACAGGCTTCCTTCCAAGTTAGCGGGCTTCGGCCGCTTGAATGGCTGAACTGTGATAAATTCACTCCTGCGCATGTGCACAGGAGTTACGGCAGTGGCACAGAGCTCTGAAGGAATAGCATGAGTATGCCGTTTCTTCAGAGCGCATGCACCAGTGAATTCACCATCACGTTTGGGAGATATTAATTTTACCTACAGGTAAGCTTTATTATAAGCCTACCTGTAGGTAAAAATCACAAAGCGGAGTTTACTACAGCTTTAACATAGCTTTTTTAGAATGATTAAATTAGACATGTGTTAAGAGAAATGTGTGAACTGCTTTTGCTGATCTGCTCATGAAAATGTTATTTCCTGACTGTCCCAGGATTGAGCACTTTCTGGTGTGCAGCAAGTGTAATCAGAACTCCCAGTCTGCATGTGTTTTATGTCATTGATTAGGATTGCATTCTAACCAGAAGTGTAGCACAGAAGCCAGTGAACTGGTGTCTACAGAAGTGGATCAGAAATATCAACACTGTATTTCTCTGACAGGTTTCCTTTAACCGCCTCCCCCCCACCATATAAGGTAATGACGGGCGCAAGGCGGTTCTCTCATTTTGGGAGGACGCCATATGACGTCCTCCCACTCTAACCGCACATGCGCGGCTCCAGGGGCGTGTAGCACAGCGATCGGTGGTGCGCTGTGTCCCTCAGACACAGCGGATCACCGATCAACGGAAAGAGCCGAAGATGTCGGCTTGGTCATGTGGTCAGCTGTGTCCAATCACAGCTGATCTTATGTAAATAGGGAAATGCCAGTTATCTGACAGCTCGTGAGGAGTGGAGAGCCGATAATCGGCATTCCTCAGAGGGGACATCTACACTGATCATCAGGGCACTGATGATCAGTGTGCGCTCATGATCAGTGTAGCCCCAGCAGTGCCACCTGTCGGTGTCCATCAATGCCAGCTGTCAATGCTCATTAATGCCACCTGCCAGTGCCCATCAGTGCCACATCAATGCCACTTATCAGTGCCTACCAGTGCACATCAATGCCACATATCAGTGCCCATCATCTGAGCTGCCTTTCAGTTTCACCTATCGCTGCCAATCAGTGCCACCTATCAGTGCCGCCTGTCAGTGCTGCCTATCAGTGCCGCCTAACAGTGCCAGTCAGTGCCACCTAACAGTGCCAGTCAATGCCGCCTATCAGTGCTGCCTATCACTGCCATATGAGTGCTGCCTTTCAGTGCCCATCAGTGATGCCTGTCAATGCCCATCAGTGCCACCTACCAGTGCCTCCTCATCAGTGGCCATCAGTGCAGCCTATCAGTGCCCATCACCGCAGCCTCATTAGCGCACATCAGTGAAGGATAAAAATCACTTATTTACAAAAGTTTATAACAAAACTAAGGAAAAACTTTTTTTTTCTAAATTTTCAGTTGTTTTTGGTTTGTTTAGCAAACAATAAAAAACCCAGAGGTGATTAAATACCACCAAAAGAAAGCTCTATCTGTCTCAAAAAAATGATAAAAATTTCATATGTGTACAGTGTTGCATGACCGCGCAATTCCCATTCAAAGTGTGACAGCGCTGAAAGCTGAAAATTGGCCTGGACAGTATACGTGCCCTGTAGGCAAGTGGTTAAAGGTGTGCATACATTTTTATCCACTCAGAGCAGGCTGGCTCTATGGGTCTTGATTGTTTATCCCACTGTTTGAAATGGGCAAAATATAGTGGTCTTAAGCTAGCAATTGCTTAACCACTTGCAGCACAATCACGTAAATATATGTGATTGTGTTCACGTGGTTATACGGGGGCCATGGCTGCATCTGCTAGCAATAACCCCAGTATTAAAATTTTCAGCCAGGGATTGCCTACCCTTTTAAAAGTGTTCTGAGCAGCTTTTAAAGGTAGCAGGAGGGGTTGCCCCTCCAGTGCCTCTCCGGTCTCTCCCGTGTGATCGGGAAGCCCGGCACTGAAGTCAGCAGTTCCACCGGCTGATCAGAGACCGAAAATACAGATTTTTACTTGTAAACAAAAAATGTCTGAAAAGTGTCTTCTTCTTCAAGTGGTTAATCATAATCCTAATGATGGATCTCTTTTGTTTGACCTATAAGCTGAATGAGAAAAATCTAAGAGATTCCCACATCCACTGCATATCCTTTATTGCAATTAATGAGCCATCTTTCATTGTAGGCGTATTGCAACAGATTGACATATCCTCAAATCATTAAGCAGTCTTTGCTTTTATTCCCCAGATCCCACCACCTCCAGATGAGGACAGTGACTTTGTTGTAGTAGAACATGAAGATACCAGGTCACCACAGAACTCAGATGAAGTTTACTCTCAGTTGTTGAAGCTTCTTCATGAACAGCATGAGGTATCTTGCACTGATCCTCCAAATATTCCATCATATTCTCTAATTTTATACCTAAAAATCAACTCCAGCCTACCTTTTTTTTTTTTTTCAAATTGATAGAATGGAATTTGTGTGTCCCCACTCCAGAGATTCTTCTCACTTTCTGTCCTGGTCACATGGTTATGCCCTAGTGCAGTGGTCTCACAAGTGCAAATCTCGCGAGCCACGAAGCGGCTCTTTACACAATTTAATGCGGCTCTTCTGTGTGCCCAGTGATATAGCCCCTCCCTATCCCGGGCGCCCGGCACATTGGCTGTCAGGATGTAGGCGGGGCAGCGTGACGAACTCCTCTCCTCTCACATTGCCCTGAAGACCGGAACGGCGCGGGAACACAAAAGAGGAACATTGGGCGGAGCAAAGTTAGTGAATTGGCACAATGTGGGGAATGAATCTAAGGGGGGATGAATTACTTCAGAGAATTATATATGGGGGATGAATTATCTCACAATTACTATATGGGGGATGAATTAAATATATTTTACTTTAAAGGGGGATGAATTACTATGATGAATACTAAATATGGGGGATGATGATATTATTTACATTGATGAATCATACTTCTTAAGGTTTGTGGGATGAAAACTTTGTTGAGTGGTGATAAACTGTGAATTTCAATCGTGGTTTTGGCGAGATTTGGCTCAGTTTAAAAAAAAGGTTGCCCACCACTGCCCTAGTGCACCTTCTCACAGTGCAAATCTATGAAATCAGCGAAGCCATTAAAAAAAAAAATCTACTCCCCAGTGATATATGTTATCCCTAGAGCTTCATCTATGAGCGAATCTACAAATATTGCTGTGTTTATGACAATACAAAAGAAACATTGGGGAGCAAGTTAGTAAAAATGTGAAAGACTCTAAGGAATTACTGCAGAGTATATCCTGCTATTATCTCACATTATGTACGCACGAAAAAAATTACTTTCCTTTTCCTTTAAAGTTGAACTGTGATTGGTAACTGGAAATAGTGGGATCATGATATTATTTACATTGAAGCATCATCATACTTCTTAAGGTTTTGTGATGGAACTACTTTGATTGAGTGGTGATAATGTATGACATATGAACTGTGAACCTTTTGAATAAGGATGTTGTAGGCTTTATATTAAATGTTATTTATGGAATACATATTAAATTATTTGTGTATATGAATCTCTCAAATGAGCAAGACCAAAACTGAAACATCTTGGGTAGTGTCTAATGATCTATACTAACATATGATTTTATTATCACTAGAAGCCAAATTAACAAAACTAAAACACCAGGATAAAGATCTTTATTTTTAAAGGAAAGTTGTTTTAGGCTGAGTCCAGTGAGATTCAAAATTTAATGTCACATGGATAAAATAAAAATCCTTATCCTTGCATAAATCTTTATGAATTGAACCTTATTGGATTTCATCTGTCTTCAAGGCCTGCCAAAGGTTTTTTTCGGCATATACTGTATAGTGTCTTTTGTTTCTAAATGCATTGTATGGTCAAATGTTTGTGGACACCTGACCATCACACCTACATTAGCTTGCTTGAAAACCCATTCCAAAACCATGGGCATTCAAATTGAGATGCCCCCCCCCCACCCCCTTCTTGGTTGCTTTAAGCAGCCACCACTGTTCTGAAAAAGCTCTGGAGTGTGTCTGCAGAATTTCGAGCCCATTAAGCCACAATAGCATTTTCAAGGTTGAATATCGATGTTGGAGAAAGCGGCCTGGCTCAGTCAGCATTCAAGTTAGCTCTGTGCAGGCAATGCGGTTCTGACACACCAAACTTGCCAATGCATGTTTTATTGATCTGGCGTTGTGCACAGGAGCACAAATATATGCCGGAACAAAAGAGGGTCTTCTCCAAGTTGAAACCACCAAAGATAGAAGTCTACAATTGTCTAAAATGTCTGTGTTTGTAGCTTTAACAGTACCCCTCACCAGGAAGGGTGTCCACATACATCTGACCATATAGATAGATTTGATGATCAGGTATCTACAACTTATGGCCAAATTGTGTACATAATGTAGTATTAAGGTGATAAACATTCACAGATAGTTGATATGTCTCCATTTTTCAGACCCAGAAGGTCCACCCATGGGGTTTACATCTATACAGTCCCTTTAGTATCTTTTCTATGTAAACTGGTACAAATGATAGCACAACATGGCTACTTTTATTATTTCATAAAAAATAAACACTTTTTAAGCTGTTAAGTATGTAGAAAGTATATATTTACAGCTATGAACTAGATTCATCTTCAGAGGCTTTATGGACTGGCATCATCCAGTCTTTTGTTTCCTCCTAGAAATGTTTGCGGTACTCCAAGCAATTTACTCAGATGGGAAATGTTGCAGAAACCACAAGGTGAGTAAAGAGTCTCTACATCAGTAACCAGATAGAATGTAAAGATGGCCATAGACATTAGGGAATGAAGGCACACCTGTCCTCAAGTCATGTTATTCAAAGAGAATGGTACACAGACACATTTTCTTTCTTGTCCTTTGAGAAATGTAGAGAGTCTTAAACCTTTTATTTATGCTACCGCCTACCGCCTACACTAGCATTGGCAAAAAAAAAAAATGTAGCCCGGCCCAGGGTATAATTCTCCTACTTACCAGCAAGCCTCAATTATTGCTTTATTATTATAAAGGTAGATTTTATATATAAATACCTTGCTACAATCATTAATTAAGGTTTAGCTCTCAGTTACTGCACGGTCACAGTGACTTCAGTGGGGACATGCCAAGTTAAGGTGATCGTTAAGCAAAGCATCGTAGCCACAAGGTTCCCCTTCAGTTGCCATGGTAAGTTTTTTAGGTGGGCAGTCAGGGATGGTAAAATCATGGCTTTTACCATCCTGTTGCCACCCGTACAATCAAGGCCTTATTCCTGTACAGAGATTGAAAATGCCCTGATAGGCTGTTTGCTAATTCTAAGCACTTGCCTTTACTGTTTTGTTCCAAAGCTGTTCATTTCTACTGTGGATCTGTTGACTGCTGGTCCCTTGCTTTAACAGCATGACTGTTAAAACCCAGGTTTTAACATACAGGGCATCTCTTAAGTTTGATTCCTATGTTACTGAAGGCTAGGAAATACACTTCCCACAAGGTTTACCACCAGACATGGAAGGTGCACTTTGCTTGCTGTGGGTCTAACGGCTTCCACCCCTGGAGTTTCTCCATGACAGATCTGTTCTTTTTTGCAGTTGATCTGAACCAACACCTGGCTGGTAGTACCATGGGTTGGATTTCTGCCCTTTCCATTTAGTTTCAGAGACTGTTGGCTTTCCATTTTATAATTAAACCCTTTGTGTAGGGGTTTTGCATGGGGCTCCCAGTCCATTCCCCTTTGAACCTTCCACTCTACGGTCAGACTCACAAGGTTGCATTTCTTGTGGCAAACACCTCGGCTAGGCAAGTGTATGAGCTGACAGCTACAGTGGGGCAAAAAAGTATTTAGTCAGTCACCAATTGTGCAAGTTTTCCCACTTAAGAAGATCAGAGAGGCCTGTAATTGGCATCATAGGTAGACATCAACTATGAGAGACAAAATGAGAAACAAAATCCAGACAATCACATTGGCTGATTTGGAAAGAATTTATTTGCAAATTATGGTGGAAAATAAGTATTTGGTCAATATCAAAAGTTCATCTCAATACTTTGTTATATATCCTTTGTTGGCAATGACAGAGGTCAAATGTTTCCTGTAAGTCTTCACAAGGTTGGCACACACTGTTGCTGGTAGGTTGGCCCATTCCTCCATGCAGATCTCCTCTAGAGCAGTGATTTTTTGGGGGGGCTGTCGCTGGGCAACATGGACTTTCAACTGTCTCCACAGGTTTTCTATGGGGTTGAGATCTGGAGACTGGCTGGGCCACTCCAGGACCTTGAAATGCTTCTTACGAAGCCACTCCTTCGTTGCCCGGGCGGTATGTTTGGGATCATTGTCATGTTGGAAGACCCAGCCACGTTTCATCTTCAATGCCCTTGCTGATGGAAGGAGGTTTGCACTCAAAATCTCATGATACATGGCCCCATTCATTCTGTCCTGTACATGGATCAGTCGTCCTGGTCCCTTTGCGGAGAAACAGCCCCAAAGCATGCATGATGTTGCCACCCCCATGCTTCACAGTAGGTATGGTGTTCTTTGGATGCAACTCAGCATTCTCTCTCCTCCAAACACGACGAGTTGTGTTTCTACCAAACAGTTCTATTTTGGTTTCATCTGACCATATGACATTCTCCCAATCCTCTTCTGGATCATCCAAATGCTCTCTAGTAAACTTCAGACGGGCCCAGACATGTACTGGCTTAAGCAGGGGGACACGTCTGGCACTGCAGGATCTGAGTCCCTGCCGGAGTAGTGTGTTACTGATGGTAGCCTTTGTTACGTTGGTCCCAGCTCTCTGCAGGTCATTCACTAGGTCCCCACGTGTGGTCCTGGGATTTTTGCTCACCGTTCTTGTGATCATTTTGACCCCACGGGGTGAGAGATCTTGCGTGGAGCCCCAGATCAAGGGAGATTATCAGTGGTCTTGTATGTCTTCCATTTTCTAATTATTGCTCCCACAGTTGATTTGTTCACACCAATCTGCTTGCCTATTGCAGATTCAGTTTTCCCAGCCTGGTGCAGGTCTACAATTTTGTTTCTGGTGTCCTTCGACAGCTCTTTGGTCTTCACCATAGTGGAGTTTGGAGTGTGACTGTTTGAGGTTGTGGACAGGTGTCTTTTATATTGATAACAAGTTCAAACAGGTGCCATTGATACAGGTAATGAGTGCAGGACAGAGGAGCCTCTTAAAGAAGAAGGTACAGGTCTGTGAGAGCCAGAAATCTTGCTTGTTTGTAATTGACCAAATACTTATTTTCCACCATAATTTGCAAATAAATTCTTTCCTAATCAGCCAATGTGATTGTCTGGATTTTTTTTCTCATTTTGTCTCTCATAGTTGAGGTCTACCCATGATGCCAATTACAGGCCTCTCTCATCTTTTTAAGTGGGAGAACTTGCACAATTGGTGGCTGACTAAAAACTTTTTTTCCCACTGTATATCCTGCAAGAAACCCTTTATGTTCTTGCACAAGGACAATGTTGTATTGAGGTCCTGGGCTTCCTTTCTTCCCAAAGTAGTCTCTGTTTTGCACCCTAACCAGATCATTGTAATTCCATCCCTTTTGTCCAGCTGCAGTTCACAAAATTGAAATTTTCTCTATTGGTTGGATGTGGTTCAGGCTGTGTGAATGTTTCAGCTGCTGCTTCTTTCATGAAGATGGATTCCCTTGTTGACATCTCAGACGGGGGCACAGCATGGGCTCCCAGGTTTCCAGTTTCACCATCTCTAGGTGGCTTGGACAAACCAAGGTTCAGGCTTTGGTCTTCAAGATTGGGCTGGCTTTCTTCACTAAGCACCTCTTCAGCTATACGGCATCAAGCCTTTGTGACATTTATGTATGTGTATATGTATTTGTGTGTATATAAATTTTATTTTTCTATTTTTAAACCATATAAAATTATTTTGAGGCATGCTGATAGTAGGAGGGTTATACCTTGGGCTGTTCTACAGTTTTTTTTGTTTGCCAGTATCCAGTCCTCCCTACAGGCAGCAGTATAACCTACAGGATTATAAAATTCTGTATCCCTCATTGGGCTCCAAGAAAAAAAGTTAATGGTAAGTACACAAATCAATATTTTTGTTGTATTATATTGTTATTCCCGTCTTTGATAAACTGAGAATATGTAGAAGTCTTGACAGTGCTCCTTGGGCTAAATCTTCAGCAATGTCTGATGTTGTTTGTGTTCTTGTGGCAGGTTCGAAAAAATGGAAGATGAATGCAAGAAGAATTGTGATATCCTTCACCTATCTCAAGCTCAGGGCCGGGATCCACCTCCCTATCATTTTGAAGACAAGACATTGAGAATAGTCCGGTAACCATTTTGATCAATACTGACTGTGAGGAATGTTGAGAAGCAGTTCAGGGCAGGCATAGGTCTGATCAAGCACCAGTAACTGTTGATCAGGCATAGATCAAACCTAAGACCACTAAATGTTCAGGTCAGCCATAAATTAGACCAAACTCCAGCAACTATTTAGCTCAGGCATATGTCAGATCTAACACACCAGTAACTGTTTGGGTCAGTCACAGAGCAGATCATAGAACACATCTAACACCAGTAATATGTCAAATCTACAACCATTAGCTGTTCCGGTCAGGCATAGGTCAGACTCCAACACCAGTAACTGTTCAGATACAGTGTCTATGTTTTTTTCTTTTTGGAAATGGTAGAATATTGAAATGAAAAGGGGGAGGTTATGTGAGTTGTTTGGACTAATTGTTGGTCTGTATATAAACTGATCATGATCCTTCTTTCCCAACAGAGTATTCTCGGAGCTAAGTAGTACAGAGATGCTGCTGATTATAGTACGAGGCATTAATCTTCCAGCCCCTGCAGGTGACATTCTCCTTGTCTCTGTCCCTTTTCAACACCTTCCAAAGAGTGCTCTCTTCCTCTTTAGTTGTTTTGTAATGTATTCTGGAGGAAAACATGTTTGTCTAGCAAACTGCAGATATTTCTCAGCCATATTCTTACCTGCTCTTTTGAGAGGAGAGGTGTCTGCATATTGCAGGTTGTTTTTATCAGTGTATTTTTTTTTATTGTATTTATTTTTAAAGCCCCCCCACTCCAAGGACAGGAAAAAATGACTGTTTCAGTGCCAGCACTGCAAGGGTTTGCTTATTTTTGTCTAGGGGATGAGGAATAAGGTGTGAATACTTACCTTATTCTTCACTCCTGCAGGGTCCCTCCATTGTTGTCCCTGGTCCCCCCCAACCTCTTCTCCAAGGCCCTCCTGGCTACAGTCTCACTCTTGCGATCTCTACCTGCAAATGCCCTACATGGCACATTATGGATTCCAAGGGACCACCTACAGACTGGAGCGCCGGAGCTGGCCAGAGTGGGGGTAAGGCAAGTAATGCAGCCTTCTTATCTGCCTCTAGACAAATTTAAACATACCCTTGCACTGCTAAGGAGAATAGGGACCCCCGCTGCAAGAGTTTTTTTTTTTTCCAACCTGAACTTGGGTTTTAAGGTAATGTGTAGTGTTTTTTTATATATTTTGAATATTATGGTTAGAGTTAAAAAAAAAAAAAAAAATTAACAAAAATAGATTTTCTTTTTTGTCTGGCAAATATTAAATATTGAATATTCCTACTTTGTATGCTCATTTATATTCAGTGGGTGCTTTTTAAGCACCTCTTCATCTGTGTCCTGCTCCCATTTCTCAACTCTTTTATAGTATGAAACTGTTTTTTTCTGGTTTCTGATAATAACATTAGTATATTGGTTCACTAACCAGTCATCAAAGAGAGCATCCAGTTGCATGTGGATACTTATTTTAGACCAACCCCAGAATAGGTGCGCTTTTTTCCTGCACCTACTGAATAGCCTGGCTGAGTCTAGCATATCAGTTGTCTCATTTTGCTGCCATTCTTAGGGTTGTTGTCAATGGAAGTTGAGCTTGTGTTGATGACATGAGTTTGAGACACTTCTGCTTCAAATTGGTTTTGCTTTCCCATAGACTTGTATGAAGATGCAAAACTGCTTGAAGTGAATAAAAGCCTGTCACCATAGTCCCTTACTACACTAGAATGGTGTCAGCTGTTATCTGACATGTCTACCATCTCTGTATACAAATTGGCCAAATGAGTTCAGCTGAGCTTTTTTCCACATTTATTTCAGGGCTGTCCAAAGCAGTGTTTAGGGTTTCTGTAACACAAAATATAGAAGGGAGGTGTGATTTACTAAGATTTATGTATCTGCCTCCATGCTCTGATCTGCAATTGGAACTCAGTTTGGAGTTGATCGGCCCTGTTTGTCTCACCCCATGGCTGGTGTCTCTGCTAGAGCATCCATTCACTAGTGTTGCAGTAACATCCTGGGCTCATTGAGTACTATATGACTCCAGAGAGACTCTGAACTGCTAAAGCCAGTGCTGATTGGCACTTCTCTGAACACACCCCGGAACTTCATGTCACCGAACTCAGGGGCGGACTGACCACCATTTGGAAACTCGGGCACTGCCCAAGGTCAGTAGTAGGGGGCCCCATGAGATGCCCCTGGTACCTTTTTCATAGGCTTTTTTGAGTTTGGGCAAGGACACAGGCGCCCCATGATCCCCTATTTCCCAGGGGCCTCATGAGTTGTTAGTCCGCCCCTGCCTGAACTACAGTTAGATTTTAGAGAAACGTTAATGAGTTTTTCACTTGTATTCTTAAATGAAATCTATTTTTTTCTTGTTCAGTTGCATTTTGATCTTGTAACCTGAAAGATTCAAGTGAACCTGTGCTTTGCACATGCATGCATTGTAAAGCAACTTGTTGACTTTAATGCCACCTTCTCCTATGCTCGCCTATTTGTTGATCTCCCATGCCTTCTTTCAACAGTCGAGGAAGGAAATCCCTGTGTTCTTGTTAAGCTTACAAAGGCGCTGAAGATTCTCTCTCCCAACCCCATGTGGCAACACTGACTCAATCACAAGCACCAATGTGATCATGTGAGAGAAAAGGGAGTTGGACAGTCCATAGATGATTTGAAAGAAAGGAAAGAAAACCGCTTGATTCCCCCATCAACAATGCCTCACGCTGAGCCATGTTCAGCTATGTTCTGCCAGCAGGCGGGAGCACAGGGAGCCTTCCTAGCAGGCAGAACACTGATTACTCCTAGAGGCTATAGCCGCTGGCAGTAATTACATGTAGAAAATTCCTACAGGCTGGTTGTACCCAAGTCGATTGATGGATCGATTTGGGGAACAGTCAGCTTGCCCATACATGGATGGAATCTTGGATGGTCCCTGCTGAACTGGACGAATTTTGATCCATGTATGGCTTGCTTTAGTAACATCCTCCCTGACTCACAAAAGTACCATATTTATTTTTTAGCTGCAAGTGACTGAATGTAGCACTCGGGGGAAATGATGAAAAGAAGCATGTTATGCAGGAGAGGGGGGCATTCAAGGCACCTTGTTGTTTTGCCCTGGATGGACAAAGCAAGATTTCCTTTAATGGCACAAACGCTCAAATGGCCCTTCAGGAGCTGCTGAATATACTGCAGAATGTGGACTCTATCCATGGCTGTGTTGCCCATGTGTCACCATACAACTCCATGTTTTATATGTAGTTTCTTTTCTCGGTTATTTTTTAGTTGTAGTGTCACTTGGTATCCAATGAAAATTGCTCACTTCTATTAATCTGTTTCACAGGAATGGCACCCAACGACCTGCATGCGTTTGTGAAGTTTGATTTTCCATATCCAAGCACGGTAAGAAGTGAAGAGGAAACTGATTGTACCTGTGAAATCTCTGTCTCTGAAATTCTTCATTGAGGGTTTCAAAGGCCAGAGACAGCTGACAAGTGTAATGTTGCTGCAGTCCTGTCTTTATATTTTAAGACTGGTGAAGCACACCATCTCATGCTCCTATTATTGTGCTGGAATGGAATTATGTTTTGAAATGCAACATTTAATTCTGTTTGAGCTTTTAAACACCGTCAATGTTTGTCTCTTGCAGGAACAGCCACAGAGAAATAAAACCTATGTAGTTAAGAACACCAACTCTCCAGGTGACATTGCTCAAGTATTTTTGTGTCTAGTGGTGCTGTGGGCCAAAATATGTGCGATGTGAGAGCTAAAGCCATCGCTAGTCAGAATATTGCTGCAGGAAGGTGATGCTATATGTCCACAAGAATAAACCCAGCTTGGAATGCCACCGTGGGGAATATTTTCTAAAACTAGTGCAGTTGTGCATGGTAACCAATCAGCTTCCAGGTTTCATTGTCAAAGCTGAATTTCAGAAGCTGATTGGTTACTATGCACAACTACCCCAGATTCTGTGTGTACCAGTTTTAGTAAATCTCCCCGTGTTTCTGTTTATGGATAATATACTACAGGGTTGATTTACGAAAGACAAATAGACAGTTGCACTCTGCAAGGGAATTTGCTCCAGAGTTTGGTAAATGAGGGGAAGCTCTACTGACTTCCATCATTCAATCATCATGTGCTAGCAAAAATGTGATTGCGTTTACTTTGCAAAGTGAATCTTTACCTCATTTACTAATCTCTGTAACTAATTTCCTTGTGGTGTGCAACTACATGTACGAAGTGAAGAGTCTGCCTTTAGTAAATCAACCCCTATGTTTAATCCATTTAATATAATTAGTGGTTCTTGGAGGAATATGTTGTATTTTTTTAAGTACTGAACAGGCCTCGGTCTCTAATTTTCATTCTCTGTTGTGTTTATTTGGACTTACAGCATCCTCTCAGTACATCTTTTGTGGGTGGAACCTGAAAAATTGCTAAAATCAAACTGATTCTCTCTGAAAGTTAAATTTTCTTTCATGTGTCAGTGGGTTACATTAAAGAAAGAGGTGTACCAATTTGGATTTTTTTTTTTAGCCAATTGCTTTTACTTTCTATAGCAGTGCTCCTCTAAATGTGCATGCAAGGGTAATCTGTTCATGTCTGTTTATAGTAAGATCATGCCATACATCTAATTACCATTTGTAGCAGATCTCTCCTCAAGAATTACAACTACAGATCTGCTTATATCTTATATATTAATTATATATAATTTTTTTCTGATTCAGGTGATTTTTAAAAGCGGTGCACCTGCTGTAATGTGATTCTTTAATATTTAGGGAGAAAAAGGAATCTATAGCAACTCAGTAGTAGAGACTTTACTGTAATAAGGCTGGCCTTCCAAACTTAGATTTTTTTCCATTTAGTCTGGTGGCTGAATGAAACAAATCTAATAGATTCCTCCTTCCACCCTATACACCTCCCACTGAGGCTGGCAGAAATCAGAATACCCAAATTGCAGCCGCATCTGATTGGATGCAGCTGCTGTTTGGCCAACAATTTTCCACTCCAGACTCCTTTCAGTTGAAAGGTCAAATGGGAGGGGGGGCGACCGGAACTGGCCACAATTTTGAACAGTGTATAGCCATTTCAAGTCTTGTGTGTGCTTAGAGGAAAAAAAAAATGCTGAAATATTCGTCAACCAGTATGCAAAAAATGTTTTGCTATGAAATAATAAATCTCATCTAGTGTTGTGTGTGTGTGTGGATGCTGCTGCTGTTTGGCCAACAATTTTCCACTCCAGACTCCTTTCAGTTGAAAGGTCAAATGGGAGGGGGCGACCGGAACCGCCAGCTTTTTTTCAATCAAATGCTTTCAAGTCTTGTGTGTGCTTTACCGCAGCCTTTTTCAATCAGGGTGCCTTGGCAAATTGCCTAAAAATTGCTCCGAATTGCCCAAAAACTGTGTTCATGGCATCGGGCTTTTTTGTTACACAAAGCCACAAGTTTCCTAACAACTGCTGACATCAATGGTTGATGTGGAGGATATCGGGAGCCTAAACAACATCCTTGTTGGACCCGCCTCCATGAGGACTGGGGTCACACATGGCTGCGTAGTGGAGAGAAAATGAGGAAAAAAAAAAAATGCTGAAATATTAGTCAGTACCAGTATGCAAAAATGTATTTGCTATGAAATAATAAATCTCCTCTAGTGTTGTGTGTCTTAACGTGTGTGGATGCTGCTGCAATATGTAGAATTATTAGTTTAGTATTTTACATTTTAGAAGGGGGTGCCTCGAGATTGATGCCTGCTAATTTTTTTAAAGGTTGCCTTGACTGGAAAAAGGTTGAGAAATACTGCTTTACTTATCACTCTGCACTGTCCTGTCAATTACACACAGTGATTGAATAATTTGTCTGTTGTACCGAGATGATGTATTTTCTGTTTGTGTGATCTTTTATACAGAGTACGAACAGTCGTTTAAACTAAATATCAACCGCAACCACAGAGGCTTCAAACGGGTGGTTCAGGCCAAAGGCATCAAGTTTGAGATCTTCCACAAAGGTGAGTGACTAGTACTGTTGGAGAGGACAGAGAGCCATGGCCTTCCCCAAAGCTGTAGCCAGTGTTAGCTTTGACAGGTTTTAACCACTTGCCCTCCTGAAGATTTACCCCCCTTCATGACCAGGCCATTTTTTGTGTTATGGCGCTGCATTACTTTAACTGACAATTGCGCGGTCATGCAACGCTGCACCCAAATGAAATTTATGTCCTTTTTTCCCACAAATTGAACTTTTGGTGTTATTTGATCGCCTGTGTGTTTTTTTTTTTTTTTTTTTTTTTGTTTTGTGCTATAAGCAAAGACAATTTTGAGAAAAAAATATTTTAGATTTTTTGCTATTAAACATGTCCAGTAAAAAAAATTTAAAAAAATCAAATTTCATCATAAATTAGGCCAAAAAAATGTATTCTGCTACATGTCTGCTAAAAAAAAAATCCCAATATTTGTAAATTAATTGGTTTACCTGAAAGTTATAGCTTTTACAAATGGCGTTATAGATTTTTTTTTCCTATTAGTAATGGCGGCAATCAGCCATTTTTAGTGGGACTGCGGCGGACATTCTGACACTGGTGGGAACTAACTTGGTGTCACTGACACCAATACAGTGATCAGTGCAAAAAAAAAAAAAGAATTGACACTGTACTAATGGCACTGTGCAAGAAGGGGTTAATGTGAGGCGTGATCAAAGGGTTAACTATGTGCTGGGAGTGTTTTACTAGGGGGCAGGGGTTGTGTTCTTCACTGTAAGTGCACTGATCGGGATGGCTGTACTGTGCACAGCCATCCCGAGCAGTGTGCTCGAGCTGACAGGGAGGAAGATTGTTTGTAAACAAAACAATCTTCCTCCCCGTCGGAGATGCTCGGTAATCACCGGGCGGGACCCAGTGATTGACATCTGCGAATGGCGGCGCGGCTCGCGACCCCTACCCGGAAATGCAAAATCACGTATATACAAGTGCTTTGCGCATAGGTGCCGCCCTGTAGCAGTATATATCTGCTATAGGGTGGTCTTTAAGCTTTTAATCCTCATCCTTTTTGCCCCACATAACAATATAAACGTCAAATGTTCATTCCAACTGTACCCCCCTCCTAGTAAGAGCTGGCTCCTTACTCCTGACTTAGGATAAAGTACTAAAGGTTTGTAAGTGTTCTGGGCTGTCTAGAGTTGTCTGTAAATATAGTAAGCGATATGATTGGTGGGTATTTTTTCATTGCATCCAAAATGAAGCATACCCGCTCTGTTTGATCGACAACAGAGATATATACAGAAGATGTCCATATCATGGTTGTGTGCAGCCCATAGACTTGTTTACTTAATCAGATGTTGTTAAAAATACTTTTCTCTCCTCTTCTGCAGAGTATTCTTGTTCAGAAGTGATAAGCAAATGGGGACCGCAAGTGTTAAACTGGACAAGTTGGAGACGCAGTGTGAGATTCGAGAGATTGTAGAGGTAATAGTAATATCATTTTAATGCATACATCTAGTAAAAAAAATACAAATAAAATAAGAATACTATACTTTACCTTTGCAGTGATATACTTAAGCATATCTTAATGAACTTCCTATTTCAGGTGTTTGATGGAAGAAAACCAACTGGAGGGAAACTAGAGGTAAAAGTTAGGTTAAGGGAGCCTCTTAATGGTCAAGACCTTCAAACGGTGACAGAGAAGTGGCTGGTGATGGACCCTGTTACAAGGAAGGTAATGGCATCTGGCTGATCAGAGGTTTCTTGCTCAGTTGGGTATAGAATTTGTTGGCATTATAAAACTGAACTCCTCCAGGTGTGAAGGAGCTACAAGTCACGTTGCATGTGTTTTCATGGTGCAGCTGAAAACTCACATCTTCCAAACAAGAATAGTGGTGATCAAAACCAATCAATTTCAGTTTTGTTCAAGACTGTAACGGCTACGATCTTTGGAGCCGATGGTAGGCTGCTGCTTTGATCCATATGGATGTTTTTGTGTGATCAGAGTCTGGTTAAAAGTGGTTAAACCTGCTAGAAAATTGTCAGGTGTATAACCATAAATGGCCAATTTGATGCACATTGCAACCCCTACAAGGATTTTTCACTTGTCATCAGAGTACTCCTTAGCTCTGCCAGTTGAGGCAGTGTCCTTTGCCTTACAAACCCTATAGTCACATCATACTTTAGACCAGAATGTGGCCGCAGTCACCCAGTTTCCTTGCTGCTCCTGACTTCAGAGGCCCTAAGCACACTACTGCTTCTTTCCTTGTAGAGTCCTTAGAGAGAGGCATGTCACTGGTTTCAGTAGCCATTTCCTACTCTGATTTTGGGTCACTTTAGTCTTTCCCTGACTATCTTTGAGGAATTGCTATTGCCTATTTCAACTCTTATTGATGTAGTACATACTACTCTACATTTAGAGGCTTAGCCTGCTGTCCCCAGTCGGGGGTCCTGCAGAGCTCCAGTAGCTGCAAGGATCTTTCCATTATACCCTCGAGGTATTTCTCTATGAAGACTAAAAGCACCTTGATGGACCCTGGACACCTCTTAAGCACTTACTGGATTTGCTCCCCTTTGGGAAGGATTTTGGTCTACACCCACTGTGCATCTGCCTGTCACCCAACCCTAGGTCAGTAGAGAGGATCCTTATTTTCAATGTTTCTGCCAACCAATAGTTAGAATCCCTCTTTAAGACCCAGTTCTCATTGGAAGACCCTGTCCTTTGCCCTGTTCTCTCTGTGACCTTAAAGCCTCATTCACATGGGACATATAAATCCTGTGTGCTTTCTGGGGCATGTACCCGCACATTGGGAGCAGCGACTGTCTGTGCACCTGCTGTGTCCCAATTGACAGCAATGGGTCTGCCTGCAAGGGGATGCATGGAACCCCTGTGCGTCCCCATGCGGGAATACACGGCCCTCACATGGGGCATGGATTTATATTCCCATGTTAATGACACCTGATTTGTCCAACTGGTAAAATGGTCTAAATCTCTGGAGATCTCACAACTGCAGCAGCGGATCTCTTCCTGACTGAGCATGTGGAGCAGCTTTACGCTTCAGCTATTATGGCCAGCTTGTCTCCCATGTGTACCTGTTGTCCATACAAATGCTCAGAGCACTCTGATTAAAGGAGCGCCTGGTCTGCAAGGGACAACATCCCTTCAGTCTAAGCCTTGATATTATCATTAAGAATATCACTGGAGGCAGGGCCTCTGCCTGGCTCTGTTAAAAAGTCTTCAAAAGGGCAGGCTAAGTCCCCTTCTTTCTCCTACTCCAGGAATAAATATGCCTAGGTCTTCCAAGCCTGATTCTCCCATCACCTAGTAATAGCAGTTTACTCTTGAAGTGATTGTAAGCCCTCACCTTATTAACCAACCCATTCAGTTTAAAATAGAAATGAAAGGCAAAACATTTGTGTTAAGATATAAAAAAAAGTTATACCTTCCCCCTGCCCATTTTTATAAGTAATAACATTCCCTCTGTTGTCAGCTACATAGGAGCTATGGAAGGAGAAACTGCTGCATACTGATCTTCCCAATGAATGGCTGTGCAAACTTTACTCCCTCCCCACCCCCAGGTCTCCACTGTCCTTGCCTGTGGCGATTCTCCACTGTTAGAGCACCTGCAGCTGCTCCACCTGTCTGGGGATATGAAATCCCCACTGCTCGCTTTCTTCTCCCTTGAGCGCTGTCGGGACAGACTTGACTGGTCAGAACCATCACAGATTGACGACTGGGACTGTGCATTAGCTTTGCTGAGAGGGTCTCCTCTATAGGATGACAGACACCTTCCCTACTCCTCACAGAGAGAAGGAAGAACAAAGAATGGACAGAAGATCCAATAGCCCCTGGTGGTAGGTCCTGCCCCACAACTTGCGACATCCCTGGAACACATCCACATGGGCTAGGTGTCCCAGCTTGTCCAGTTGACCTCAGATGAACAATAAAGATAGGGGGAGGTATATACACACTGCGTATATCACAACCTGCTTCATGCATTTACAAATGATAACAAAAACGTGTATCATAACAACTGCGCTAAATATACAATGGTAAAACAGTATAAATGGCTGTACTGTACAAATATAGCTGTGATTATAAATTATATGTAGTCGTATATCTGTTCCATAACGGTCTCTTAGGTTTGCTTACAGTACTTAAAAGGCCTTATACATGCATAAGATACACTAGTCCCTCCACTTTGCATGTGATATTTAGGAGATCGTATCTGTCTATTTGGCAGCTGCATGTGATGAAATGTTTGGGAGACCAGATGTACGACAGCATATGTTAAGAGAAAATAAAAGAGGGCGCACTCTCCTCATACCGTGATAAAATTTTTTATTAAAAAGTAGGTAACAAAAGTGTACTCACAAAAAGACCATAAAAACAGACATGAGCCAATTCTTTCAGCCCCAGACACAAGGGTCCTGTCTCAACAACTGCCCGGTTGGAAATAGCTGACGCATTTCAGGAGATGCACTCCCTTCCTCAAAGCTAAGACAACTGGAGGTGCCAATACCCCATATATAGGGGAAATCACAAGTGCGTCCTCTTTTGTTTTCTCTTAACAGTCCTTATATTCCCCCATCCTTAGAGGGCTGCACCCCATCAAGTGACAGACACCGTGTTACACTGAGGAGCACAAAGATTTGGTGTTTTTCTATCGTTTTCATACAACAACATATACAAATAGTAAGATTACAAATCTTACCAATTGGAAGGTCACTACACTCATTAGACAGCAACATATTACACAATACCATATCAGTAAATACATCTCAGCAACAAGTATGCATACAAATATATTACCTACTCATTTATGTTTAGATTTTAAATATGAAGCTGTATTTTGGATGTCTTGAGGCATCGGGCTTAGTCCCATTTGGTCTCCTCCTGGTCTTATCATGGGGTGGGATTTTTGGCCTCATTTGGTGCCAGCTTCAGGTGTTGGTCTGCAGACAGTCTCCAGTTTTTGTTTTTAATGGGTCTGTTACCAGTTATTTGCTATTACCCTTCCCTAAGTTTGACTGTTTTTGGAAGTTCCAGTACTTTGACTTCCCATGTCCCTCAATAGACTGAAAAATCCTTCCCTTGAAGAACGTTGAGAGACACAGCTCCCACCCCTCTCTACGTGTGATAATGCTGTCAGTACTGCTTTGGTACAAAACTGAGGCATTCTAGAAGTAGGAGGGGGTTAAACTCTGGGGTGACCTACAGTTTTTGTTTCCCATTTTCCAGCCCCCATGTAGGTGGTAGTGTAACCCAAAGGTTTAGGACTTGCTGTGTCCTTACCAAGAAAAGGATTTTACAGTGAATAAAGTCCAAAGGTCTCCTAGCCAGTCCAGTGGCATGAAGGTGGGTCCTTCCTCTTCTCTGGTGGTGGAAGGTCCATTTCCCGCACTGAATGATGCCCAAGTAATGTGTGAATGAAGTTTGGTGCAGTAGTAATCTGAATCCAGGTTGCACAAGGATGTCCTCCTGTCCATGACAGCCTGGACTCAGGATATGGGTTGAATAAAGTCTAGGAGTCCTAATAAAAAATGTTTAAAAATGAGGAAAAAAAATTGATAATGTGGTTTTGATTGTAATCCCTCTTGTTTCCTCCTCCAGTGAAAGTGGTGCAGTAAGAGGATGGCATCCTGTACAATGAAGACGCTGCCTTCACACACCCTTGTCAGCCTGTTCTTGCCGTGTATTCCACAGGCCAGAAAAGGAGTCGCATACCAAAGGACTTCCTGCAGCGTTGAAGCACATAAGAGGAACGCCATCATAACCGAAAGATCATGTTAATATATCAATGCAGAATGTCCGCGGCTGTGCAGCCCCTGCGGCCTTAGAGTGCGGCAACCGCTCTACCTTACTAACAGTACAACTTGGCGTCACCCACATGTGTAATCTCTGGCTTTCTTATGTGTTGAATGTAAATGAAGATCTGTTTTATGATCACCGGAAGACCAGAGGACAAGTGTGACACAAATTTCAGAATGTACTGCAACAGAATCCTGCTGCTAGCCTGTGAGGGGTTTCTGTTAGTGAGACCCATAATTGCAGCATAGCTTGCCAGCAGAATTCCTGATTGTGGATTTGCTTCTGGTGCTGAAACGATGCTGATTGCTCAAAAGCTGCACTGCTAAACAAAAAACACATTGTGCTATTTCTAGCTGTTTTTAAACCAGTTTACAGGTTAATGTGTCTGCTATTGAAGGAAGGAAAGGCTGCTATGTAGAGGTACATTACCCAAGAAGTATGTTTTTACTTCGGAGGTCCATCCATCTCTGACTACAGTCACAGCCCACCTCAAAGTTTCATGTTGATTTCAACCATTCTAGGGTTAGTGAGCTTAGAGCCTCATTTGGTCCCAATTGGTCCCAGGTTGGCCCTAATCAGTTCCCTTTGGGATGGCGCAATGTCCACAGTATGATCAGCTTACAGAAGTGGTGCACATATGAAAAGAAGTTCACTCCCTTCATTGTAAAGGGAATGATCGGCACCTGCTCATGAGATTTAGAATATCTCTGCAATAACCATCTGATGCTGGTCAGCCCTCAAAGGGCAGGTTGTTATCTGTCACAAGAGGCGTTCAAAGCGTTCAGAACATTTGTACTGTGTGTGGCCACCCTGTGACAGAGCAGGGAAATGATCATCTTTGTAAAGATTATTATTTTGTTCCCTAATGCCTGAGCCCAATGAAACATTCACATTTCAATGTCATAAAGGAACTGAAAATTCACAGAGTTCTGC